GGAGGGGGCTGGATAAGACACAGTCCCTGCTCTGCAGCCAGTCCCAAGGAGCACTGGCCTGCAAGCCCCAGCTCCACCAACTCTTTTGGTCTCTTTCTCATGAAGGTGATGGATTTGATCAGCTCTGAGATACTGTTCAGCTCAGAGGGGCTTGTCTCTCTGAGTGGATACACTAGAGGCCAAAAGGGTAATTTTCTGGCTGTACTTCTGACCCTCAGCCTGGCCAGCAGGGTTTGGTTAAGAGGTAGCAGGGAATGGCATGGACCACTGACATACCCCAGATCTGGCCTGGCTTTCCCTTTTGACAAGAGCCCTCAGGGAGGCCTAGGATCAGTGTGAATAGCATGGGACCCGTCCTTAGACCAGATAACATTCTGCTTCCTGTGTGTGATGGGAGCCACTCATTGTTCAACGCTGTTTATAAGCACCTCCACTCTGTGCCAGGTTCTGAGCTAGAGATACTGGGCAGCCCAGACCAGTTAGATCCCTGATCTCATGAAGCTTCCAGTCTAACTGGGGAGACATTAGTAAGTGGACAAACACAGTTGGATGCAGGCATGAGTATGGCTGTGGGCACTGCCTTGGGAATTGCCAAGGACAGAGACAGGTCTCAGGCTCCAGTATGCCCCTGGAGCCCACAACCAGGGCTGGTTCAGAGTTGGCCCCCACTCGGCAAACATTTGTTGAACTGCTTGGCATGAGAGAGAAAGCATATGGAAAGTGCCCAGCCCTCCCAGTTATGTCCACAGCAAAAGCCAGCATGTACACAAAAATATCTCATTTCAATTAACCAACATTTATCAAGGGCCCATTATGTTACCAGCAGGATCCCAAGCCCTGAGAATCTAGACATGAATAAAATCAGGCCTCCGCCTCCTTGAGCGCACAGCCCAGATGGAGGCAGGCACGTGAACCAACCAGGACCCCCAGTATGCTAGGACTACGGTGTCTGTGTGTAACCAGTTCCCAGCAAGGCTGGGAGGCTGGGGAGGGAACACACCAGGAGGGAAGGACTAAGGAATCACAAATTTATACCCGAATCTACACAGATGTATAAACAGATACCCCCAGAGACAAACACTCTGAGTCTCACAGGTGTGTGCACTGATTCCTAAGCATGTGCAGACATAAATAATGACCTCTGTAGACTTGGGTGCCACACAGGCCATCATGACCAAGGCCTGCTGGTAGTCCCCCAAACCGGGGAGGTGTGTGGTTGAGACAATGGCCGATGTGTTGGGGGGTTGGCACGGGCACCCTGGGAATCCCCAGGCCTAGGCAGGGGGATGAGCTATCAGTCTAAACCTGAGAAGTTAGGCTGACTATTAGCTTGTTTGACATGGCAATCGCGAGAGATGGCTGATGTCCTGCACACCAGACCTGACCCTCAGATCAGACCAGAAGGTAGGGAACTTGACAAAAAGTTTAACTGTTAGTACTTGTGCTTGCTGAGGAGTCTGACCCAAGTCGGAGTCAGGACATCGAGGTGGAGGAAGGGGAGTGCTCAGGTAGCTTGCTGAGCTCACCTCCCTGCTGGGCAGAACTGTGCGTTTCAGGAACTGCCCGCTTCCCCATTTGGACATTTTGGCTTTTAGGAGCAAACAAATAGAAAGTGCTGGGAACAGCTCCTGGCACGTGGTAGCCCTTTGTTCTGTCCCCCAAGACCATGCCCTTGGTGTGTTATGGTTAAGTTCCAGCCTCCTCTCCTATGAGGAGGGGAAGCAGGGAGCCAGCCTGAAGGAAGTGGCAGGAAAAGGGCCCAGGAGCTTGTTCACTGAGTGAGAGGTGGATCCCTCCTCCAGAGCTGTCTTCTGCTGAAACCTTGGGGGGTTTTGTGTATTCTTTTCATAAGAGATATTACTTCTTTGCAGTAATAATAGCTTTTTTTTTTTTATGTTCTCCTTACATGAGCACATTTTTCCATTGCTTTTCCGAGAGAGTGAATGGGAAGGAGGGAAGAGGAGAGGGAGAGAGAGAAACATCTACCTGAGAGAGACACATTGACTGGCTGCCTCCAGCATGGGGGGTGGGGGTGGGGGAGCTAACTTGCAACCTGGGTAAGTGCCCTGGATCAGGAATCAAACCCGTTGAGACCCTTTGGATGCTCTAACTGCTGAGCCACACCAACCAGGGCACAGTAATAATAGCTTGTATAGTGCTTTCTGACTGCCAGGCACTGCTCTATCTGGTTCACATATGATAGCTAGTCCAATCCTCTTAATAATCCTATGAAGGAGGGATATTATTATTCCCATTTTACAGATGGAGGAACCGAGTTCCCAGGTGGTTCAGTAAATTGCACAAGGTAGAATGGTAGGATGACACCAAAGTCTGTTTTCTAACCATTAGGCTCTGCCCCCACTCTGGAAGGAAGTCTGCTTGTTGCTCCTTCACCCTCATTAATACACTGTGGGACCCTGGATCATTCACTGGCCCTCTGAGTTTCCAACTCTTTCTCTGGGAAGCAAAACGTCCTCTCAACTTGGCCACCTCCCAGGGCTGTTGTAAAACCACACCGACTATCCATGTCCTTGCATGGGCTGTGCTGGGGGAAATGGGGCCCAGGTGCAGCATTCTGGGGAGCAGGTGTTTCCAGCGGGGTGCTCTGCATCTTGGCCCCTGGAGCAGGAGAGTTTTCTTTGAGCCCCATCAGCAGCCTCTGAGCTGTGTACACAGGTGCTGGAGGCCTCCCAGGATTGGGGACATGAATGAGGGTACCAGGAGAGAAACCACTCTCCATGTAAACTCATGCAGAGAAAATCATGAACTGTGCATGCAATTTGCACCCGGGCCAAGGCTCTCAGAGCAAAAATATGCTCTCTGGGCTATTTGTAATCTTGGGGAAATTAGAGTGATCTGGGTAATGGGAGTGCTGGCAGACTCAGGCTGGTCAGGGCCTGCCAGGGGCTGGCAGGGGAAAGAGTGGGACCTTCTGGTGCAGGATGCTGCACTCCCAGTCTCTCCTTCCTGACCCAGCCAGTGCTGCTGAGCCAGGAGAGGAAAGGGATGGAGAGGAGCTTCCCTCTACACGGCTCCTACGTAATCTTGTGTCTCTGTGGCCTAAGCCGGAGTGAGGCCAGCTGCCTGGGACCCTTCCAGTTAAGAGTGAGCTCCTCTACTTCAGACCTGTCATTTCACTGATGCTGGAACAAAGGCTCAGAGAGGGGCAGTAACCTACCCCGTGTAACAGCTAGTGGGGTCCAGACAAGCTCTGGTCTCCTGGTCCCATCTGCTCAGCATTCCCACAGTAAGCCAAGGTGTAAGACCCGAGAAGCTGGCTGGAGACATTCCCTGGGGGATGCAGTGGGAATTCAATATCCAGTGACCACCTTCTCCAGAGCAGACAGCTCCAGAGTGGGTTCTGAGTGAGGAAGGCATGTCCAAGGGGACTCAGAGAACAAAACTCAGACTCCCTTACCTGGCATTCAAGGCTCCCAACTCCCCTTTTAAATATCTCCCTCCGCCTTCCTACACCAATCACCTCCCTCCAGCTACCCCTGGATCATTCTTCCCTCTCATATTCCTCTGCACCTGGTCCATACTCTTCCCACTTGACTGCCTTGACCCTTCTCTTCTCTGATTAACTGAAGGTTCCCTCCACCTCCAACTCAAGGCCTCTGAAATCCCTCTCCTGGCCCTCCTGCTCTGTGACTTGCCCTCGCTCTGAACTCCCTTCTGGAGCTAATAGTCCACCAACAAGGTCTGGTGTAGTGGCTGCCGTAGTAGGCTACCCACGTTTACAATTTGGGATGGAGGCACTCTTTCCTCCCCAGCTGCAGGAACTTGGGGGCTTCAGGCCCAGTCCTCAGCCAAGAGCTTCGCCTGAAATGCCCCCTTCCCCAGGGCAGTGGAGATCCAATGACGGGTGGGGTGTTTAGGCCCTCCCTCCCTTTCCCCTGGTGGTACAAGTCCAAGGGCCATCCCAGCTCTGGAGCATCCCCAACGATCAGTCCTCAGTGCAGCTACTCCTTCCCCTCAAGAGGATGTGGTCCAAGAGGGCCAGTTTATGGCCCCTGGGAACAGAAGGTGTAAGCAGCCAGCCCGGGTTCAAATAGAGAGCAACCATTTTTAGCTCTCTGACCTGGGCCAAGTCACCCAACCTCTCCATACAATTGTTCTATTACATACGAATACTGCTGAGACAATAGTTCCTCTCTCCTGAGGGTCCTGTGAGGATTAAATGTGATGATGGATGCATGGTGCCCGATATTGAGAAAGCACTTAATAAGCATTAGCTATTATTACTTGCTAGTACATTTAACTTCTCTGGGTTCAGGTGAATAGGAATAGGAAATTGCCATCTGTGTCGTGGGGTTGCTGGTGACAATCAAATAAGACTGAGAGGAAAAGGGTTCAATTCTGGGCGGCTGTGACCTAACACAGACTCAGCGGTCAAGCTCCCTGGGGGCTCTGCCCATCCTGGAGCTGTGGTCTGGAAGCCTGACTCTCCCCCAACCGGTGAGGACGCCGTATTGGTTTTCTGTTACTGCTATCACAAATTAGCACAAATTCAGTGGCTTAAAACAAAACGAAGGTATTATCTCACATTTCTGTGGGCAAAGTCCAGTACGGGTCTGCTAGGACTAAAGTCAAGGTGTTGGCAGGCTGTGCTCCTTCTAGAGGTTCTAGGGGAGAATCTATTTCCTGCTCTGGCGGTTGCTGGCAGAATTCAGTTACTAGGGTTGCAGGACTGAGGTCCCTCCTTTTGTTCCTTGACTTGTGGCTCCTGCCTCCATCTTCAAAGGCAGGTGGAGAGCATCTCAAGGCTACCCTTTTAATGACCTTTTACTTCTAAAGGCTCATGTGATTAGATTGGGCCCACCTGGATAATCCAAGATTCTCCATCTCAAGGTCCTAATCACATCTGCAAAGTCCCTTTTGCCCCGTATGATAGCATACAGATTCCAGAACATAGACATCTTGGGAAAGGGTCATTATTCGCCGGTCACAGCCACCCAGCATGGGGCACCCTCTGACCCAAAATTCACCTCCTTTTCCAGGGAGAGGTCTGTGCAGTTCCCTGTGCAGCGGGGACCTACGGCCCCAACTGTTCATCCGTTTGTGGCTGTAACAACGGTGGCACCTGCTCCCCAGTAGACGGCTCCTGTACCTGCAAGGAAGGTAATGCGCCTTCTCTCCCAATCCCACCCACTTCCGATGTGCACACTGCCCAGAGGGGCTACCAGTGGAGGGGTCTGCGCTGCTCCTGCCCATCCGCCCGCATATAGGGTCAGGGAGCCTGTATGGCAGGTTCCAGCCACCAGAACCCAGGCCGGGGCTTCAACAGAGGGGATGAAATAAAGGGGATTTGCTGCCTGACGTGAGGAGAGCTGAAGGAGGAACAAGGGTAGGTGAGCAACCAGAGATTAGCAGCTGTGGGAGGATCTGCGGCCACTCCTGGGAGTGAGGGCCACCTGGTGGGAGCTGGGGCATGGACAGAGAGACAGTACAATAGAGCTGGAGCATGGAGACACAGCCCACTAGAGGCTCAGAGGCGGAGAAATAAGAGACACCTGGTGTCTCTCCTGCCCCCGCACTCCGGGTTGTGGGCCGGGTCTCCCATCAGCAAGCCCATCTGGGAGCCAGCGGAGGGGGTCTTGGGCGAAGCAGCTGCAGGGGTCAGCCCCCCTGGGACATAGAATAGAGCAGGAAAAAAGGATCTGAGGGCAAGCAGACCAGTGACCAGCCTCCGAGTGGGAAACCAGGCCGTTCCCCAAACCAACAGCCCTGAAACCAACTGGCTGACTCCACGTGGGCTGAGATAGCCCTCCCCCTTCAGCTGGTTCCCTGTCCAGGTGGCCTCATCAGCCCCAGGCAAAAACAGTGAGAACTGGGAGGCAGGAGGCCCGCAGCCCAGCCCCAGCTCTCCTCACAGCCGTCACAGCCACCCAGCATGGGCAACCGTATTTTGGAGTGAGCTCTGTGGAGTGTGTGTTCTAACCCTGAGAGGTTTGGGTTTGGGCAGGATGCCCCGTACAGAGCTGTGCGGGGCCTGAAAGGAGAGCCGACAGCCTTTCCCTCCCTCAGGGTGGCAGGGCCTGGACTGCAGCCTGCCCTGTCCCGGCGGGACCTGGGGCCTGAACTGCAACGAGAGCTGCGCCTGTGCCAACGGGGCGGCCTGCAGCCCCGCGGATGGCTCCTGCTCCTGCACCCCCGGCTGGCTGGGCGACACCTGCGAGCTGCCCTGCCCGGTGAGTGTCCAGGGCTACAAAGCACCTGGTGGGCCCAGCAGCCTTGCATACCCTTTCCCTGGAGTTATTTTGTTCACAGAGAAGAGCACAGATGGAAACCCTAGATCAGGTCTCAACCCTACTTCTAACCTCTCTGTGGCCACTTTCCCACTAGTTCTGTGGTCAGCAGACACATGCCGCTCTTTGGCCCCCTGAGTGTGGCTCTTCCACAAAATACCACGGCCTGGGCGAGTCTATTTTGAAGAAGTGGCATTAGAAGGAGTTTAAGTTGAAAAAATTTGGCTCTCAAAAGAAATTGTAATCATTTTACAGTTGATATTTGGCTCTGTTGACTAATGAGTTTGCCGACCACTGTCCTAGCTGGATTACCTTGGGCGTGATACTTCCCTTCCCTAACCATGTTTCTCCTCTAAATTGTGAGTAGAATGGAACCATTGCATGGAGTCACTGTGGAGAGAACATGAGGCTCTTGATACCTAACGAGTACCCAATACGTGTTAGTCACCTCCTCTTCCCATGCAACAAAGCATAAACCAGTCATTCCTCCCATGTGATTGATGTGTTGCAATCTGCAAAGTGCATTTCCATTTACAATTTTAATGGATGGTCATTGCAGCCCTCTGAGCTTGACCGCTGAGAAGCAGGGTGAGACCATCACCTCCCTCCTTCTGAACCCCATGCTCTTGTTAAAGCAGCCAGAGAATTCCATGGAGGGGCTTCCCGGCAGTGGGGTTACCCAGTTATAAAAAGTGTTCCCACTGTGCCCCAGCCGGAGTCTCTGTGCGGCCTTGGGGGGCAGTGGCTCTGTTTTGTCATCAAATTCCAACAGCAGTGCGTGGGGCTCCGGGGAGCTAGAGCTGACCATTTCTGTCTCCCCTCGGTCCACAGGATGGCACATTTGGGCCGAACTGCAGTGAGCGCTGTGACTGCAGCCACGCCGATGGCTGCGATCCCGCGACAGGCCACTGCTGCTGCCTGGCAGGGTGGACAGGTAACCCCCTTCGGCCTCATTGCCACCCAAGTCCTGGAAACTGGGCTGGTGGTATTTTCCTTCTTCTCTTGACTGCTCTCTCTCCTTCATTACTTCCTCTAGCTTCCTAACTAAGCACCTTTCCCTTTATTTCCTGGGCTTCAGTTCTCCATTCCACTCGATTTTGTGTAAACAAATATTGATTGAACGCCTATGTGTAGGCTCTCTCCTGAGAAGGGGCACGGCAATAAAGACTCAGACAAAGGCTGACCCCTGGCGGCTGTCCGTGTTTGCAGAAGCTATGGTGCAGAGGGGGACCAGGAACTTCCTCCTCAGCCCAGGCTAGTTTCTACATGACCTGTCATCCATCACTTTCCTCCCTCCCACTGCCCCACTCCGGCCCACCAGCCACTGTCTCTCAGCTGGCACTGCCTCGGCCTCCTACTTGGTCTCTGCGCCTCCCCTCTTGCCCGGCCACATCCATTCTGCACATGGTGGCCAACGTGAACTTTTCAAACCCAGCTCCTTTCCCATCAGTCCCTGCTCAGAATGCTTCCATGGCTTCCCAGGGCATCCATATAAAATCTAGAATCCTTCAGAGCATCGGCCCAACTCCTCTACCTCTCCTTTCCCCCTCCCATCACTCACTGTTCCAGCTGCCCAGGCCGTCGCCTTCCTGCCTCCAGGCCATCCTACGCTAGCCCCTCTGCCTGGATCACTCCCGCAGTCTCTGCACCTGATAAGGCCTTCTCCTCCACCAGATTCCTCTGGCAAGGCTCTCTCCTCCAGTTACAATCCACCCCCTTAACCTTTATTTATTCTCATAATACCCTACATTTTTCCTTTTGCAGAACAAACCGCAATTGTAGCTACCGTATTTGTTTATTATCTGCCTCCCTTCCTCCACCATTAGCTCTGTGGAGGAAGGGGCCACATCCGCCTTGTTCACCACTGTGTCCACTGCCTGCCTCACACGGAGATACGGATAACAAAGCAGTTCAGAGCGGCAGCCAGACTGTTCGGGATTGTGACCTTGGGCGGGTCCTTTAACTGCTCAGGGCCTGGATTCTCCATTCATAAAACGCAGATAATTATAATCCTTGAGACAACAGTTTTTTGAAGCTTAAATGAATTAATATCTGTGAGTGCTAACAGTGCCTGGCACAGAGTTAAGTGCTCAGTAAATGTAAACCTTGAAGGCAGGAAGTGCTGAGTCATGATATGCTGCGTGAACCCACTAGCCGGGCCCAAGGAGAAAGGAATGCAGGCCCTGCTGCAGTGGATAGCCTCAGATAAATAATTCACACCAGGCGGCTGGGCAGCCTCTGTTCTTGGTAAGCAGAAAGCTTCTGAGCAGCCCAGGGCCAGGGACATTGCCTCCTCGGCAGAATCTCCGACCTGGCTCCCCTTGCCCTGCCCTTCAGGACACTGGCACCTTCGACTCTTACTGGATCCAGGTAGAAATCCACTTTACGTTTTCACTGCCTTAATTTCAAGTGCGGCCAGTAAGATTTTAATGACATCTGGTGCTTAGGAATTCTGTCTTTGATGGACAGCCTTTCAGTAAAGCCTCTGCTGTTCTAAAGCTAATTTCCCCAAACATGGTTGGTCCTGAGGACATTTCAAAGGAGCGATTGATGTCCTGGGGTTTATCATGCAGAAGGGGACTGAGGAGAGATAGGGAGGGGGTGGGGGGCAGACCTCAGCCGCCCTCAGTGGCCCCTCCCCAGCCCCTGGCATATTCCGGGTGCCTGGCACACACCAGGTGTTCTGGGCCCAAAGTGTGTGCGTGTCCTCCCCTGGCCCCCAGGAGCCACGGCTTCTTGATGACTGCGTCGTGACTAATTCATCTTGCCCTGCACACAGTAGGTGCTTACTACATGTTTCTTGAGATAAATGGAAAGGAGCTGGCCTATCACCATATGTGGGTTTTCCTTTCAAAGTGAAGGAGACCTTGAAGATGAAAGATTCCAACCTGTTCTGCCGCAGATAAGGAGAGGGAGTTGCCCAGGATCTCAGGACATTAGTGACAAGAGATGGAAGACACAGGATTCCATTTTCAGGAGGAGCCATTTACTCATTCAGTTAGCATTTCCAGGCTCAAGCACTCACCAAGTCTTTATTTGGCGGCTACCAGGTGTCCAGCACTGTGTCAGTCCTACCCGCAGTGAATGGCAAAACTCAAAAAGAGCCGCAGTCCCTGAGCACCCACTGTGTGTCAGACACTGTGCTGGGCACCAGAGATGCAAAAATGACCAAGACGACATCCCCATCCATCAGAGTACCAAGGAAGAAGGATCAAAAGTGTTAGGAGAATCTCTGTCTTCAAATTGCTGGCAGGAAAGACAGGACTCCTATATATGAAACATTCAATCAATAGGTGGAGGCAAAGCTGTATGTTGGTGACTATCAATTAGATGCTTGAATCCCTGGGCAGACATCCAGGAAGGCTTCCTGGAGAAGGAGACCCTATAGGATGAGGGCTGCTGAGCTGCTGCTGGCCTCAGGGCATGAACTAGAAGTCACAATATGTGGATTCTTACCCCAATAAAAACGCGTGGAGGGTCCTGAAAAGTGAAGCAGGGAGATTCCCTGGGGGTTAGCAGCCTGGATGCTCAACACCCGAGGGCAAGGGAATTTTTTGGGGCAGATGGCAGCCTCTGGTTCTGCACAGCTTCCCGATGTCTCCTTGGGGTCCCCTTCCCCAGGCTCCCCTGCAGTCAGTCCAGGCTGCAGGTCCAGGTCTCCCCTCTGCACACCCAACACTCCCCAGGGAGAGGCCTCCATCAAGGGGTGGAGTGTGGCCCCCAGATTCTCACTGGGGAAAGATCCGTTTCCTGGGGGGAACTGCCCCTCACCCTCCGCAGACACCTGTGTCCTGGGGAGGGAGCAGGCACCAGGCTCACTGGAGGATGAGTGCAGCCTGCTGCTTCCCCTCCTGTCTGCTCTCGCTGCCAGCCCAGGTGGGCTTGTACAATTCCAGCTGAATTGGTCACACTGCTCTCCCTCCGCTGCTAGGACTAGCTGTGTTCAGTGGGCCTGTCTTCCTCCCTTTTTCTTTCTCTCAAAATCCCTGTCATTGTTAACAAGGCAGACATGATTTTTAAACTAATTTTGATTTTCTGAGCTCCAGATATCCACCTTCCAAAGCCACGCAGTCTCTAGGGTCCACCCAGTCCATCCAGCTAATTAATACAAGTGAGACATTCTGCCTGGAAACAAACCCCACCCCAGAGCTGGGGCCTCCAGCCTCGGGCCTTTTCAAATTCCTTCTTAGCCTTTGGCGATAATCACCCCCAACATATCATTTCCTCTCAACTCTGAAAGAATGTATAGGCCTTGCTCCTCTTTTTTAGAAATTCCCTCCCTCCCCCTTAGACCACCATTTGTCAAACTGAGGGTCATTAAATCCATTTGTTGGTCACAGCTAGCTTTCTTTTTTCTTAATAGGATATGTCAGAGTGCAGAGAAAATATCAGAGTGCATCACATACAGTAAATGTCATTTTTCAAAGGCTTGGTTTCTAGTATACATGTGTGCACCTATGATATAAAATACATATTGCACCGAGGACTGTGGTCAGAGAATCTGAAAAGACCTCACTCCCTCTCTGGGCCCGGCCAGAGCTGACTGGCTGGAACCCAGGGAGAACCAGTGGCTCCTGGGCTAGCATGGGTGGGCCAGGAGCTCACTCCCAGGGTGTGCAACCCCATCACAGCACTCACTAGCCCCGTAGTTGATTTTTCCCAGGGCTAACCTTAGATACCAGCTAATATGTCAAAAATGAAGGAGGGCCTTCATGATCTGATCCCTTATTCCCACAATCACATCTCTTTGCCAAATCTCATTTTATACTTTACTAGGGGCCTGGTGCACGGAGATTTGTGCACAGGGCGAAGGGGGGTGGGGGAGGGCTCAGCCCGATCTGCACCCTCTCCAATCTGGGAGTTTCTTCTGTCTTTGCAATCATATGAGCAAACTGTCTGAGACCCCAACCCAGTTTGGTTTGTTGCTCACAGGATAATAGAGGTATTTTTGTCTTAACTTCATTGGTAGAAATTTCCTTGAAGTTTTAGGATATCTTCCCTTTAATTTTTCCTAGACACTCTGATTTTACTTATGTCTCTCACCTTTGCTTTCCCTCCATCCCCCACCACAACGGTAACTTGACCCAAGCTCACTTTGCTTTAGTGTCTAGGACCGTGGTTGGCAAACTGCGGCTCTCAAGCCATATGTAGCTCTTTGGCCCCTTGAGTGTGGCTCTTCCACAAAATACCACAGCCTTGGTGAGTCCATTTTGAAGAAGTGGCATTAGAAGTTTAAGATGAAAAATTTTGGCTCTCAAAAGAAATTTGAGTTGTTGTACTGTTGATATTTGGCTCTGTTGACTAATGAGTTTGCCAACCACTGGTCTAGGAGATCCATCTGAAACCAGAACTACGATTCCCAGCATTCCTGGTGCTTCCCACACTCTGGGTTTTCCCTTTCTGCTCTGTCTCCTGCTCTGCCAAGTCCTCCAAACTGCCAGCTCTTCCTCTCTGCTCTTCGTCTGGCGGCTTGGGGAGCCAAGTTTCCTAAGCCATTCCACTCTCCGCCAGCTCTCCCATTCTACTCTCTGCCCGGTGCCTGTGTATGCAAATTAACCATCTTTATTGGGTTAATTTGCATACTCCTGATTGGCTGGTGAGCATATGGGAGGGACGGTCAATTTACATGTTTCTCTTTTATTATATAGGATGGTGCAGCCACACAGAACTATTTTTTCTTTCAAGGCATGATTCTCTCTCCTGCCTCCTGTTCTTTGCACATAGGGTTTCCTTTACCTGGTCAGTTTGCCCTTAGCCCTTAGGACTCAGTTATGGCATCACCTCTTTCTGGAAGCCCTCCCTGATAGACCAAGCCTTGGCTAGGTTTTTCTTCTACATTTCTAGATGCGCTGTTTGCCTCCACCTCTCATACTGCATGGTGCTCCTTCCCACCATTATTCCTTAAAAAAATAATTTTTTTAAATTGATTTCAAAGAAGAAGGGAGAAGAGGAGAAAAATAGAAACATCAATGATGAGAGAGAATCAAGGAATGATTGCCTCCTGCACGCCCCAATCGGCCCACAACCCAGGCATGTGCCCCAACCGGGAATCGAACCATGGTCTCCAGGTTCATAGGCTGACACTCAACCACTGAGCCATGCCGGGCCCACTGTTCTTCCTTTTCCCTTACCCCTCTTTCCGCTGACCCGAGTCTGCCTCTGGCCCACAGGCATCCGCTGTGACAGCACGTGTCCACCTGGTCGCTGGGGCCCCAACTGCTCCGTCTCCTGCAGCTGCGAGAACGGCGGCTCCTGCTCCCCGGAGGATGGGAGCTGCGAGTGTGCCCCTGGCTTCCGAGGACCCTTATGCCAGAGAAGTAAGGCTGAGCCCCCTTTCTCCATCCTCAGACTTCACCGCAGTCACCTCGTCCTCCCTTCCACTCCCATTTAGAACTAGTCCTGCCCTTCCGTTAGTCCCCTCTCTCCCTGGCTTTTCTGCCCCCAAGTTCAGGGCCCAGCCTGATCCTCCATGGAAAGAGGACCAGACCACAGCTCTTCTCCGTACAGAGAGACAGGCCCTCCAAGGTGTGGCGGGCGCGGCTCTCCCTGTGTTTTTGAGGAGCCTCCCTTCATCACTGTGTGGAACTGGAAGGGTGACCAGGCTGGCTGAGGCCCTCTGGGCTGCTGACCACATCTCCCCATCACCCCTAGTCTGCCCCCCTGGGTTCTATGGCCACAGCTGCGCCCAGCCGTGCCCCCTCTGCGTGCACAGCAGCGGGCCCTGCCACCACGTCAGCGGCGTCTGTGAGTGCCTCCCCGGATTCTCCGGAGCCCTCTGCAACCAAGGTACTGTCTCAGGGGGGATGGGAGCCAGGGAGGTGAGGAGTCCTGGGAGGGAGGGTTTGGGAGTCTCATCATAATCTGTGGAGGTAGCTCCTTGCCTCTTCAGGGCTTGGGCCTACCTTTCTAAGACCTGGGCACCACAAGGCATAAGACAAAGCCACGATGCAGTTAAAGGCACAGGCTCAGAGAGGTCAGATCATTTCTCGAAGGTCTCACAGCTAGCAAGTGGCAGAGCAAGAAACAAATTCTGATGCCAAAGTCCATGCTAAGTGGATGAAAAATAAAACAAGCGTAGGTGAGGTCCTCGTGGCTTACACGAGGGCCGAGTGGGAGAGGCAGAGATAGCTGTGGGAGCTCAGAGGAGTCAGTTCTGGCTTCAACTGGCCATGGCAACTTTGCAGTCCCCCTCCCCTCTCACTCAGGCCAACATCACTAATCACACACCACCCCCTTTCCTGTCTCAGCTGCAGAACCCTTCCCAGCACCGACTCCAGCCAACCCCTACCACTCAAAGCATATTTGCTTTGGTGGGCTGCTAACCTGGTTCTCTGCTGGGGGAGAGCTCTGATTGATAATGTTTGCAAATTTCTATAAAATATTCCCACTATGGCTGATTCCAGTGGCTTAACACCTGGCACAGAAATCCTGAATATTTAACAACAGTGCAAAGGTCGAAGCTGGCTCCCACACACGCCACTGCTGATTGCAGCCCCCGGCTTCACGTCCCCAGGGCCCCGGGGCAGTGTGCATTTGGGAGATGGCTCCATGCTGGGCTGGACCTCCCTGGTCCTCAGCTTGAAAGGCAGAGAAGGAAGAAAGGCATTTGGGTAGAGGGAACAGCCTGGGCAAAGCACAGGGGAGTGGACACGCGACTGCCCAACAGTAGGGAACAGCTGAAGGATGGCGGAGCTGGGGATGGGAAAGGGTTGAGGAGGTGGTCGGGGCCTTTAGAACAGCTTTGAGCACAAGGGTATAGAATTTGCACTCTAGACTGGAAAGAGGGAAGGGATCTTAGACTAAAGTAAACTTAGAGCTAAAAGCAATGTCAAGGTCATCTGTGCAGGAATCTCATCGAGCCTCTGCTTAAATACTTCCATTGAGAGCTGACTACCGCCCAGGGAACTGATTCTTTTGATGAATAATCACCACTGAGCTGGGCTATTTTTATAAGTGGATGGGCCGTTAATATGTATGAGTGAAAAGTTTACTCCATGATGCTCTGAGGTCATGAAAAGTTTGGGCCCCAGGGAAACATATGTGACAGTTTCATTTGCTTGCAGCCCTCCTAGGACAGCTTAATCATAACCTGACACATCGAGGTTTACTTATTAAACACCAGAGACCCCGCCATCAGTACAGATAGGCTGAGTCTAAATTAGGACCTAAGCAGCCCGAGGAGTAACTCTCAGATCCTGCGATGTCTGATTTATCGCCCGCTGGCCTAATGTGTATTTCCCACATATAGATCTAATAGAGTTTGCTATTAATGGCAACTGCCCTGGTTAAGTCTCAAACCTTGTAAAAAATTGAACTGACACTTTCTAATGACCAGCTTCCCAGCGAGTTACAAATTGCAGACATTGCTCATGCAGAATCATTAAACATAGATTAAATATAACCAGATGTTTTCTTTTCACCAGCCCCTGTTCTCTCCACCACCCCTCTCTTCCTCACTCTTGACTCAGCTAAGAAGTGGACCAATTAACGTATTATACTGATCGCATTAGCAGCTCTGTGGGTGGACTTGTCAAAGATTTGTGTCCGTGACAAGGACTTGGAAGATAAGATGGTCTTGTTAGAGAAGCTTAAAGCTCATTTTGGAGATGGAAGGAGTGGAAAACTCTAGCCAGGACAAGGGGGGATGCGTTTCCCAAACCCACACCTCCCAGAGGGCCTGGACTAGTGTTTTTCAGGAAACTGGAGCCAGAGCCAGAACTGCAAAGAGGAGAGATGTTTCTCATCCTCCAGGCAGTGGACATGCCCTGAAAGGAGCTAGGGGTTTTACCAGGAGCTCAAGGCCCCCATCAGCCATCCTGCCCATAGCTATTAACCCACAGCCTGAGGCTTACCAGCCCATTTCAAAGATGGGGAAACACTGAGAGAAGGGATATGGTTTGCTCAAAACTAGTTAGCCAGTAAGTGACAGAACTTCCAGCTGTGTGACCCAGGCAAGTTACTTAACCTCTCAGTGCCTCAGTTTTCTCACCTGAAATAGAGTTAATAGAAAGGAATAATAATGAAAGTATAGAATGAGTGTTACAAGTTCACTGAACTCCTATTTGTGAAGCACTTTGGATAGTGCCTGGGGCACAGAAGTGCCATGGAGGGACTTGTTGAACATATAAAACACGAGCCCAAGGCTTGACCGGAGAGCTTGCTGACCACGCTGTTTTTACTGTTTGTCCCAACCACTAATCATGGTACCGCAATCTGGTTGGGGAAGGGCTGGCAATATGGGTGCCAGGCAGTGCTGCATAAAGGGGGTGCAGCCCAAGCTTTGAGAGGAAGTTGCTTCTCTTTAAGAATCAAGACCTCCCCATGATCTCCGTGTGGAGTTCCTTTCCCATAACAGGAATGCAAGGAAGCCTGGAGGACGGAGGGCTGCTGGTACTGGGCTTGGAGGAGAGCATGCTGACCTGAGAGGAGCTCAAAGGGACAGGAGCTTCTAGCAGAAACAATTGAAAGGTCGCTGCTGCTGGGGCCTATTTGGGCCATTTTGCAACGCTTCCTGAGTGGTTGCTGCATACCAAGAACTGTGCTGGGCACTCAGACCGCAAAAGAGCAAGAGAGCCAAGTTCCTGCCCTCACAAAGCCTGGAGTCTAGAGGGGAACATTTTTTTTTTCATTGTTGATTGATTTTAATATATATATATTTTTATTGATTTCAAAGAGGAAGAGAGAGGGAGAGAGAGAAATATCAATGATGAGAGAGAATCATTGATCGGCCGCCTCCTGCACATCCCCCACCAGGGATCAAGCCTGCAACCTGGGCATATGTCCTGGACCAGAATCAAACCTGGGACCCTTCAGTCCGCAGATGGACACTCTATCCGAGCCAAACTAGCGAGGGCCAGAGGGGAAATTTTTAAGTGCTGCTTTTCAAAGCAGGACCTGGGAGACAATTGGTGAGGGTGGGGCGGGCAGTGTATTTCCACACCCTCAGCCACCATGCCTACATGAGCAGAACCCAGGCCTGGCCTGAAACAGTCTCACAAGCCACAGTATCAGAAGACCAGGGAAGAAACTAGCGGAGTATTCTAGAAGCTCTAATAGGAACAAATAGCCCCCCAGAACAGAGAAGAGGAAGTGAATCAGGTAGGACCAAGTTCAGCTATAGGTGACATTCAAAACCTAAAATATCTGGCTTGAAAATGACAAACATTATGTCCCTCACACATTAAAAATAAAGCAGGGAGAAGATTCAGAAGCTGGCCATTGGGGATGGTAGGACATCTTACAAAGATGTCAGGGTCCCAGGCTCCTTCTCTCTCCTTCAGCCATTCCCATCCTCAGCTCACGGCTTTTATGTCTGATGAAAGATGGCTGCTTGAGAGCCAGCCATCTCACCCAGCATTCTTACCCATAATCCACATTATCCTTGAACAAGGAGAACAGGCAAAGAGACACATTTCTACTTCCCATTGGCCAGAGTGTAGTCCCATGGCCAATCCAAGCTCTATAGGAACCAAGTAAATAAATTATTTATTCCAGGGGACCAGAGGCCTAAGGAAGGAGAATTGATATTGGAGGACTAGCACCTCTAACAGAGGGATCATGCAGGCGGTGGCATTTAAGACGAGTCCTGTAGGCAGGGTAGGATTTCTACAGCTGGAATGAGGGTCAGGGAAGGGAAGAGCTGGACTGAAGATGGGCATGAGGCGCATTTGGAAAGTGGTGTGTGTTAATGGCTCATGTGTCTGGACGAGGTAGATTAAGTGTTGATCTCTAGGATCCAGATTTTATTCTGGGGCACCAGGGAGCGACTGAGGATGTCAGGCAAGGCTCAGGAGTGCCACGGAGACAACCGCTTCCGAGAGCTAATGCTGTAGGAAGAAGGTGGAGGAGGGATTACAGGGGTGGAATGATAGGTAGATGCTTGATTTACACTCGGACCTAGTCCTAAAGTTGCTTGTGGCCTAGCTGAGAAAATAGCCTCTTCCAGGGGCCAATGAGTGACTCCTCTGGGAGGGGCTGACACCAAACCCTACAAGCGACTCGGGTAGAAAAAAGCTTGGTGAGTGGAGTTCCCTGTGGATCTGGGGGGGGGGGGGGGGGGGGAGGCTCTCCTGAGGACAGGGCTGAGCTGAGGCTTGAGGAACAGGTCAGATTTGGAGAAACAGAGGAAATAGGTGGACAGGGCTAGACCTCAGGGCCAGGCCTCCAATAAACAGCAGACAGACCTGCCTTCCGCATCTATCTGACCCTCTCCTTCCAGCTACAAACATTCTCTGCCCTCATGGCTATGGGGTTAGTAATGTTGGCCAGAGTGTGGTGATGGAGGGCAGTGCAGGGAGCACTGGAGGGTGCAGCAGTGGGATTCCTAGCTCTCCACTTGTGTCTGCAGACCTCAGTCAAGAGATCCTACCCCAGGGCTTCCATCAGTTCCTCACCTGGAGGGGATGCAGCTGTGGGCACAAGGGGGGAACTCATTCTTGTGCAAATGGAGAAGGGCCAAGGTGGGCAGTTCCTACAGAGACCAGGATGGTCATGGCTGCAGTCTAGAAACTTCTGGGAATACAGCTGTGGGTGGTGGCCTGAGTATTGATGGGAGGGCAGGTACCAAGCTGTCCTGTGCCCACAGTGTGTGCTGGAGGGCGCTTTGGGCAGGACTGTGCCCAGTTCTGCTCCTGTGCCAACAATGGGACCTGCAGCCCCATTGATGGCTCCTGCCAGTGCTTCCCTGGATGGATTGGCAAGGACTGCTCACAGGGTAAGCTGCTGCCTCCTGGGAATGTCCCCTACCCCAGGCAAGGCCCCCAAACACCTCACTCCGTGCCTCGACCTGTGCCAGTGTCAGAAATCTTCTGTCATAGGAATGTCCACCTGAGTCCTGCTTAGCTCTCTAATACGATGAGTTGTTAGAATTGATCACTGGCATTAACTGCCATTATCAAAGGTATTAATATTGTTAGTACCATTAATATTGTTAATGCTGAAAATTGATACTCCATCAGCACCTGAGCAAGGAGTGGCCCCTACTCCTTGGATGGAGAGAAGAGGGGTCAAGGAATGACTGGCATGTTGGAGTTAGGGAGTAGGAAGTGAGGTGAGGCCAGGGCAGACTCCTTATAGGGGTGAGGGCATCCTGTGAGTGGCCCATATAAATGGTCCTGGGCACAAATTAAGCCTAGAAAGGGCATTATGGGGGCTGTTTATGTAAGGGGTATCCAATCCAACTGCTCTGTGTAGCTTCTTGGCTGATGGGTGAGACAGCCAGGTAAGTTTTAAAGGAGCCCTCAGAGCTGAGAATCTGGACTTAATGAAAATCCTGGGTGGCTGGGCCAAGAAGTGAACAGAGGAGTTCTGGGAATAAAGTACCCCCCACCACCACCACCCATAGTCAGGAAATGCCACCTGGGTGCATCCTGGCATCTTGACTCTGACGTGCACCCTTCCACCCTCTCTCCCTTCCTTCCCTCTGCTCCTCTCTGCCTTGCCCGTACCCTTCCATCCCTCCCGCCTCCAGCTTGCCCACCTGGGTTCTGGGGCCCTGCCTGCTTCCACACATGCAGTTGCCACAACGGGGCACGCTGCAGCTCGGAGGACGGGGCCTGCCACTGCACCCCAGGCTGGACTGGACTCTTCTGCACGCAGCGTAAGCTCCGCCTCCTGGCCGCCAGCTCTTTAGAAACCCCACAGCTGCCTGCTGGCTGCCTTGGGCATTGTTCAGGCTTCTGTGAAAGGTGGGGGGAGGTGGGATCCAAGGGCTGGGGGGAGAAGGGGCCTCTGGGGTGGGTGCACTCCCACCTCTAGGATAGAGAAGCTTGGTTGGATTTGGGGGTTAGAGCCCAGAGTCCTGGGAGGTCAGGGCTGGCGGATTCCCCAGCAATCACCAAGACCAGACCACCTTTGGACAGTGGGGCCCAGAGTGAACAGAAGTGGCCTGTTACTACACAGCCAGGAGACCCCAGCCTGGCTTCTAGTTCCAGAACACCTTTGTCCAAAGGACTCGCCAGCCCCTCAGTGTGAGGGTTCAGTGTGGGAATGGCCCGGGCGCATGGTCCCACTAGTCTTCACCCCATGCTCAGAGAAAAGTGGCAGGAGGCAGGTCTGGTCCCAGCTACACCTCCGCAGTTGCCCCACTCTGTTTCTCCAGGCTGCCCGGCAGCATTTTATGGGAAGGACTGTGGGCGCGTGTGCCAGTGTCAGAACGGTGCCAGCTGTGACCACATCAGCGGCAAGTGCACCTGCCGCACAGGCTTCACCGGGAAACACTGCGAGCAGAGTAAGCTGTCCCGACTCATGCCCCTGGGTGTTGGGGCCAGGCCTCAGCCTCCACAGGGAAAGCTTCCCTCTTCAAGGGCCCCCCGTCCCGGGCTCCACACCCTGCTCCCTTGACTTCTGGAGTTAACTCCCAGGGAAAAGCGCTGAAGATGGTGCCTACGTTGGTGTCTGGTTTCTTCCTCCAGTTGGGTGGGGATGGTGGATTGTTGAGGCACAGCAGATGCCTAATGGGTATGGGACTTGGTTCTATCCTTCGCTGTAGCCCCTACAGCACTCAGCTTAGGGCTTAGCATGTGGAGGATACTGATAAATGTGTTAAATGGAAATAGGGGTGTCCTCCAACTCAGAGGTAGAGTTGCTGTCTACCCCCAAGTGTTAAATCAAAGCATAGCGGGAGCTAGAGAAGTAGGTTCCGGTCTGTGAGGCAGAGCTGCCCACGTATGGACAGGAGGGTGGTGTGGGCTGCATTTCGCTGTCTACCCAACTCCCCATGTTCCACAGGATGTGCCCCAGGAACCTTTGGCTATGGCTGTCAGCAGCTATGTGAGTGCATGAACAATGCCACCTGTGACCACGTCACTGGCACCTGTTATTGCAGCTCTGGATTCAAAGGAATCAGGTGTGACCAAGGTAATGCACAGATGGCAGAGTCTCAGGCAAGGGGCTGTGGAAAGGGCCCCATGCAGGCAGACTTTAGGGAGGAACGACTGGATTGTATAAGGACACTGTGACTTTATTCAGCTTTGGGCAGAGAGGGGGAGCAGAGGAGAGGGAGGAGGTCCCAGATGCTGGAGAGCAGATGGAGCAGGCAGCCTCAGCTTCACTGTGCCCATCCTTGGCAAGCTTCCTGTGAGCCAAGCAAGGGTAGCCACAAGCTAGTGCTGGGAAGTCACAGGCCATCTGAAGATCTGCCAAATTCTGGTCTGTCAACCTGCTAGGTGTCCTTAGGCAGGCCATCTCCTTTTATTGGGCCTGTTACTTCACACGCAAAGTAGAAAGAGTAGATTAGCCCTCGTCTTCCATCATGGCATGAGGTTCCATGGAGAACCACAGGGCCCAAAGGGGCTCAGCCTTGGCTCCAGGTCTACAGTCAGAAGACCCCCATAGGGCAGTTGGGACGACCAAAGTGAGACAATGTGCGGCCTTGAGAAATGGTTTTTATAAATAAAAGCCCTCTGAAAAGTGCTGCACACATGTAGCGAATTACATTGCTATTGGTTTAAAGGAAATGGGGAATAAGAATGGGCTGTTATTCACATGACAGAAAAGGGACCAAAACCACGTACATTGCATTCTGACGGGAGTTAGCCCTTACGTGAATCAAGAGGGGCTTTATGAACAGTTATCTGTAGGCACACTGGTACAGCACGTACAGCTCTCATTGCCAGTCTGCCAGGTGGTGCTCAGTCCTCTGCAGAGGGTGCAATTGCCGAGCCAACTGAGGACTCTCTTGAGTCACATCTAGGAAACACAGCTAGTAAGAGGGGCTGAGCCAAGATTTTCTGACTCGTGAGAAACTTGACACTACCAATTACTGGTTGTCTGATCTTGGGCAAGTTACCTAACCTTTCAGTGACTCAGTTTCTCCATTTGTGAAAGAGAAAGAACTAGTCCTTATTTAATCAGGCTGCTGGGAAGGTTAAGTGAGTTAAACTTATTTTTTGAAAAAGAGTAAAATATTCAAACATTGTTTTGTTTCCAATCCACAATCACATTTGTCCCCCGGGGAGTTCCCTAGGACCCCACTCACGGTAGGCAGCTGAAGAAATAGGCACAGTAAAGGGTTGGAATCCCAGGAACCCAAGCCTCCCAATGTTAGAGGAGCCCGCAGGCGCCCCCGCTGAGGCCCTCCCTCCGCCCACAGCCGCCCTCATGATGGAGGAGCTGAATCCCTACACCAAGATCAGCCCGGCGCTCGGTGCAGAGCGGCACTCGGTGGGTGCTGTCACAGGCATCGTCCTCCTGTTGTTCCTCATTGTGATGCTGCTGGGCCTGTTCGCCTGGCGCCGCCGCCGGCAGAAAGAAAAGGGCCGCGAGCTGGCTCCCCGCGTCTCCTACACACCTGCCATGAGGATGACCAGCACGGACTACTCCCTCTCAGGTAAGGGCTGTGCCCCAGCATTCCCATCTCCCTCACACTTACAACCCAGGAAGAGCTACAGCATGTCCTTGGGGACACCTGAGTTTACTGCTGAAGGTGGGTGGTCATGCCAGCAGAGTGGGTGGTGGGGGCTGGATGCTCAGACTCCCCCAGAGAGAGGATGGGAGTGAAGAGCATGGGCCTACTTGAGAAAAGGTAGATGAGGTCCCATGGGGTGTCATTTTCTGAGCCCCCAGCTCTGAGTGCCTGTGATCAGGAGCCTCCTTCCATTTCCCCAGACCTTCCCATCCTTCAGCCCCAAGAGCACCCACTTAAACAGCAACTTTCCTAAACTCTCCAGGGGAACTTCTCCCGGCTAGTGGCTGTGACAACTCAGGGCAACTGGCTTTGGGACCCAGTGTCCCAATTTTGCTTCTTTGGGTGAAGGTCTCAGTAAACCTCCCTTCCCAGTTCGCAGAGTTAGGAGAGCCCCAAGGGCATTGTATCTGACTTGAGGGAGATCTGAAAGTGTGGGCAATGTCCCTCTGGCCAGGCCTATTGGAAATCAGCCCATCCATCAATGGGGTGGTTACATCAGCCATAGGAGTCTGAGGGTAGGGTGGGGTAGGGGGACTACTGGGTCAGATCCTTCCTCTCCCCTCAACCCTAGACTGCTGCCTTAGAAAGAAGGCTTTTTGCTTCATATTTAGTTAAAAAGAAGAGGTTGAAATGCTCTGAAATCGCTCTCTGCCTGAGCACAAGGATGACAGCTCACTCCAGCTGGCTCCATTGCTCATGGCTGATCTGAAGCCTCCTCCACCTTGTATTTACAAAACAACATCATGTCGGCTCATTCCTGCTACATGTTGCCTACCGTGTGCCCAGCTCCATGCCAGGTGCTCCAGGATAGATGGACATGGCCCAGAAGCAGACCTTACCTTCAGAGTCCCCTGCAGAGGGTGCATGGGGCATGCAAACACTTGTCCTTGTCCTTGCTATCCCGCCACCTCCCTACTCCCACCCTGGGGTTTCCACCAAAGCAGGTATCCTCTGATGAAAGCCAAGCCCAGAGATTTGGGGATTTTCTTCTGTGACTGTAATAAGCAAGCTTGGCCAGGTTTTCCCATGCCATTCCACTGGAATCCCCCATCCCCGTTAAGAGGTCCTGGAATCCATAGGGCAGGAGGGCAGGTGTGGAGCCAAGAGGAGGTTTCTCTTTATGGCCTCAATACTGGGATATAACCATGGGGAGCAGGAGAGGATCAGCACAGCCCTAAGTATTGACTGGGGGACAAGTGAGGCTGTCAAAGCTAACGTTTCCTCATCCACGCTCCTGGTGCCACCCCCAACACTGGCAATGTTACGGTGCATCCCGCATGCTTCAGGGAAGACCACTGCAAGGGAAGGGGAAATCCAACTCCACAAATTTCGGTAGGGGTGGTGGATGCCAAAAGTTTGGGGGATGGACGACTTGGCTATCTCTCTGCAGAGCACTCTCAAGGCTGCCCAGCCCAAGCATTAGTATTGGGACATCTCATGCCAGGGGCAGGAGTATGATGGTATGTGGCAACTTGTTCTCTTCCCAGATTTGTCTCAAAGTAGCAGCCATGCCCAGTGCTTTTCCAATTCCAGCTACTACGCACTGGAGTGCGGGGGGCCTGCCACCAGCCAGGCCAGCACTCTGGACAGGAACAGCCCCACCAAGGTACCGGGCCCCTGACTCCCCAGCCCCTATCCACTGTCCACCCATTCAGTCCTCACCTCTGCCCAGGAAGGAACCATAACCCCCTACCCTCTCCCGCCCCCCATGAACTGAAAGGTCCCCCTAGAACCAACTGCCAATACATTAAACACAGCCCTGTGGTCCATTCGACATGTAAATACTCTGTGAGCATGTAGCAGGGAACCTACAGGTTACATGGAGCCAACAAGCACCATGTAACCAATAGGCATCACATGTAACTAACCACAGCATCACTCAATATAACATAAACCTCCACCTGTGTACAACCAGTTGATATCAAGTCATGTGATCATAAAATCATGTGTAACCTTGTCACATAACCATGTACACCATGTAGTCACTTTTGCCACATGTTAACACATATAATCAAAATACACCACAAACTACCAATCACTGCAGTAGGCTATGCACACAATACCATGTGTGCAACCAGCACATTAGAGAGTAACCACTATTACTCAGATAACTAGCTGATGTCCTTGTACCTGGACATACCACATGTCATCAGTACACAACCATTTATTGTAGTCAGAACTAATGCAAAGGATGCAGGACCCAAACCTCAGCCATAGCTAGTGTTCTCATTAACAGTGAGTCCTGTGGGTCTTCCCTCACAGCTCTGAGCATAAACCATAAGATGTCACCTTACAGCCCTTGGGCAAGGATGTCTCAGAATACATGTGTAGTGAGCCCTGCTGGTGTACTAGGGCCCGTACCTTGCAGAGTGGGAGGTTCAGAAATAAGGAAGAACAGCCTCAAGGCCCACAATGTTTGACAGGTTCATATTGCCCATACCTCCTGACACCCACCTATGTATATACACACAGAAGCAGGCCCAGACTCCTAGCTTCCTGTAACACCCCTCCTGCTGGGAACATGGATGGGAGCACAGTTTTCATATTCCAGGCCTCTGCCCTTGAGCTTGGGGAAACCTCCCTGTCTGCTCCACAGAACCCAAAGCCATGCAGCCTGGACCCCCTAGTACAACCGAGGACAACCACTGTCAAGCCAACACTCCAAGGCCACCCACCTCTGATTTTCCAAATGGGAGTGCTGCATGCAGGATGCTTTGAGGCCTATATGCAAGGACTGTGGCCATCAGGCCCCATACACAGCCTTAGAGCTCTGACCCCATTCCAGTGTAACTCCTCATTCCCAGCTTTAGCTTTATCTGAGGAGCTGAAAGCTAAGAGAAAGGAATCCCATTTCCCAGTAGGAGGCCCTCGATTAGCTAGAGCCACATTATCAAAGCTGCAGCAGGTAAGAGACAGAGGGTGCAAGGATGACAAGGTCCTTTGTGGCTATGTCATTCTTGGTCTCATTCTAATAGAAAGGTGTGAGCCACTTTCAGTCAAGTGCTGGAGTTCCTGCAGAGTAGCCCACTTATTAACTCGCTGGTTCACCTCACCTCAGGGTCCAAAGTGGCTCTAGGTGGTCAAAGACCCCTCAGCCTGGCAATAGGACATATATAGGAAAAGCAGGCAGCTGGAATGAGATGATACAGATATGAATCCCAGAGCCGAGACAATCTGAACTGTAGACCCAGCTCTGCCACAGACTCCTTGTGTAACCAAGTGCAGGACCTGTAAAATGAGGACAACCGTCCTTGCCTCATCCGGCTGTGAAAATGCAGGAAGAGCAAAGATTGCACCATAAGGACACCATACCTTGAAGCTTTCCCTTGGTCGTGTGAAAGGGAGACTCACACTCCGCCCCGGTCTCATGGCAGAGATGCCAGTGATGTTGCAGGCGGCCTCAGCACCATCCTGTGCTGGAGATGGCCTCATGTTGCTATCTCCAGCACAGGATGACTGCCAGAGCCCAACCAGCTGACCTATTTCCCCTGTCAGAATCAGCTTGGCTCAGGCAGGTTCTCTGCCTTTGGGAAGGACCTTCCCCTGCCCTCCTTTCCCCCCAACGACCTGGAAACCCTACAGCTTCAGCCAGACAGCTTACATGGGTGTATGCTCTGTTCTGCTGTCATCAGCCCACCATGGTGGCCTCTCACAGAACACCTAGCTCTCCCTTTCCCTCATAGGACATAGGTGGGTGCACAAGTCTGGGAAGAGTGAAGTCTGGCAGGGAGCACCTCCAGGCATTAGGTATTAACCAGCTCTCCTACTTTCCAAACAGCTCAGTAACAAGTCCCTTGACAGAGACACAGCAGGCTGGACCCCTTACAGCTATGTGAACGTGTTAGGTCAGTAGTGGTTGAGTATGGTCCCTTGCCATCATGTCCTACCCTGTTCTCTTTCTCTGCATTGAGGGGGGGCCCTGTCCTAGCTCTGAGATAGCGGGTTAGTAGGTGAATCCTGAGCATGATTTCCCCCAGGGAGTAGGGGTATAAGGAGGAACCCCAAGTGCCTTTTTCAGACTTATAAGCCCAGGACCCTCTTCGTTCCTATATTAGGGGGTAGGGGGAGGGTGGCTGTGACCCAGGGAAAGAGACGGCTAGGGCCCAGGTATGGAGATTCCAGTTGGAGGTCAAAGATGCCTCACCATCTAGAAAAGGAACCCCTGTCTGACCCAGCCCTAACAAGGTACCCCTTTCAAGGGTTTCTTCCACTGTTCTAGTGGACACCAATTCCTATAAAGGGTGGGATGGGGTAAGGGTAGAGGGGGGTGGGGAAGCAAGGCCAATGGCCTCAGCTCTAGCAAATCCCCATGGCCCTGCCGGCCCCAGCCCCTTTGAAGGCTACACATAGGGGCCCTAATTCCTTCCAGCCTGCCCTACCATTACCCTCAGACCCCCATCCCCTCCCCTGCCAAACCAGGGCCCTGGGAATAATGGCTCCTCCCTGTCATTCCTCTCACTAGACTCCCATTTCCAGATCAGTGCCCTGGAGCCCAGGTACCCGCCAGAGGACTTCTACATTGAACTTAGACACCTCAGCCACCCCGCTGAGCCACACTCACCAGGTTAGACAACCCCAGCCCTACCCTCTATCCCTAAGGCTCTCATACCAGTCCAGACTCAGCACTGGTCCTACCTCCCATTCCTGCCCTTCGCTTGACCCATCCCCATTCATCCCAGAACTCTCCCTTTTGAAATCCCCCTCCCTCCAAACATGATTAGTCTACAATCCCAATCCCCTAACAAATGAGACCCGTCTGCTCCCATCATGGTCAGTGGATGTGGACTAGTATTAGAGGAAGGGGACAAAACATGACTGTAATCCCTGCAGTCCACAGAATACAACCCAAAACACTGAGAAATGACCTGAGGATGGCAACATCTTTGGGGTTATCTGGATCTTTGAGGTTATCTGAGTGTGGATGACAAACAGAAGGCTCTCTAGCACAAAAGCCCAATGTCCCCCAGACCCACCAGTGGCCTAGGCTAAGCTCTCCCAGATCCGAGGGTAGGGGTATCCTATAGGGGTCAGAGAAGCTGGGCAGGATGTGTCAACAAACATCCTCTGTGCTCATGTATTAGGTTCAAATTTGGTAGCCTGGCAAATATGCAAAAAGGATTCTTGGAAAGTTAGTCCTGCAATGAAGATTGTGGGTAGAAGTTACAGGAGGTATCCCAGGAGCAAGTGCAGGAGGTATCACAGGAGCAAGTGCTGTGAATGAAGAGAATGCCCCTTTAGGGCAGGACCTTAGCACACTGGACAACCTTGGCCTGAGCTCAAGCTCTAGCTGGTTTTTAGAACTCAAGGCAAACAGCCCTATCAACCCCTGCAGGTCTTTAGGCCCAATAACACTAAGTGAAGATTCCAAATTCATCTGCTGATTGAGTAGCATGGGCTGCAGAGACCCTGTACCTGTACCCAGGAGGCTGTATTCTTGGTTATAGGGCTCATGGGCAGTGTCCAGGGCATTTAGTAACCCCACCAAATACATCTTCTCCCTTTCTACTACCCCCCCGCCCCCCAACACACACACACACTCACATCACACACTACCATCCCCCTGTATCTCTTTCCACAATGGAGCATTTTGGGGTTTATATCCAACCAGGCTGGTGGCCGATGGGAAAGAATACTTAGGAAAGAGCTAGGTGCAACTCAACTTCTTTGGGCAAAGTGAATAGCCTAGCCTCCGTCCCTTCAGGGAGGGCAAAGGAAGCCCTTGTCTGGTGTAAAAGGGCTGACCTAATGCCAGGGATACAGACTATTGCAGTCATGTTTCTGAAGGGCACAGGAACTTACTGGCCAGTAGAAGAATAGCAAACCTTAGACCTAGTTCTGCCCTATCACTCAGTAAGGTATGAAGGCAGGCAGACAAGAGTAGACTCCTATAAATTCAACTGGGAGCTCTAAGTGGAGGAGGTATAGGGAATATCTAAACAGCAACAGATTGGTTGGTCAGTATCAGAAACTAATGGGTCCAGAGGAGCCAAACTGTAAGCACTTGCTGCATGTCTTGCCTAGTACTATGTCTTCAATAAAAAGCTGGAGTGGAGGTAGGGTGTGGAAATAGTTTCAATGGTTTGAGCCAGTGTCATTACTGCCCCAATTTCTTTTCTGGGATCAACAGCTGCAAAGAACCTGAGCTCTATGTCCTGCCTGTGGCTTAAACTCAGGACCATGTACCATGGAAGCCTAGGATAAATTGTGACAACTGAAAGGGAGGAAAGAAACCCTTGGGATTGAAAAACACCGATGATAATTTTCAGAGACAGCTCTCAATTTGGTGTAAATGGTCCACCCAAAATAAGGAATAACTAAGAAAGCTGACTGTAGATGGGGAATGGCTGTATATCACATAAAGATGACCTCAGTCACCTGTCCACCTCCCTCTCTGGGTCCCCTCAGTCAAGTTTCTGATCCAGAAGAGGAGAGGCAGGACCAGAGCTGAGGGGTAAGAAACAGTCTTCACCCCTATTCTAATATCCAAAAGAACTAGGATTTGGAAAAACATGCACCCTTCCCAAGCTAAGAAATAGTTCTGATTCATTCCTTATCTTATACTTTTGGAGCCTGGAACTTCAACTTTAGTGACTGCAGGTGGCATCAGAACTGCCTCTGATTGCCTCCTGGAGAACATTCCCCTCAGAATGAAGGTTAAAGAGGAGTGCTAAATATGCCAGGGGGCGCTGTAGCTCACCATGAATGCTTATGAGCCTCTTAAGAATTACTATATGGTCACAAAAAGACTTAAAGTAACCCAAAACAATTTTCTAGCACTAAAGAACTATTTATTTTCTGGGTAGGGGAGAAAGAGAAAAAGGCAAACAAAAGATTGAAGCCTACACATGCAGTCCAAGTAAGCCTCACACCATGTTTTTCTTTCCTTATACTCTTTCTGCAGGTGCTTGTGGAATGGATAGACGTCAAAACACATACATTATGGACAAAGGCTTCAAAGGTAGAGTATCCAATCCTGACGTCCCATTAGAAAGGGCTTAGCAAGATAAAGAGTGCAGATCTGAAATGGCCAGAAATTCTACCAGAGAGAACTGCGCACCTGTTCCCCCCAAGCCCCTTAAAAGTTAAAAGACCACAGGACCTGGGGCTGCTGGGTAGCTCTGCCCAGGAGGAGCAACCATAATAATAAATTCATCTTTCGATTTCAGTTGCACCTGCTTAGCAAATGCTGTGGGTTTTTTATAGATACCAAATAAATGTCTTTGGAAATGTGGAACGTCATTATCCAACCAATTAGTACGAGTTAAATTGGTTAAAAATCTGAAATAAAGTCAATCTACCTGCCCCAGAGGCCTCCTGTCATTGCACTGGTAAGAAATGCCACCCTGCCACCTGCTGGCTTTCTGGGGTACAAGGAAATGAAAATGATACCCCAATGATGTATGGCACTCCACCCTCAAGAAATCTCTGCCCTGAGAGCAGGGACACCAGGACTATTCCTAACACATGGGAACTCAAGTCGGGCCATCCTTCTAGGAAGTCTCTGGGTAAAGCCAAGATGAAAGGTCAGGTCCTGTTCCTGGGCTTAGGCCCCAGGTTTAAATGACAGAAGGTATGAAATAGGTGGCTTTGGAACCATGTGACTTATCACTCTGTTACTTATTAACTGAGACCTTAAACTGTGAGCTCTCCAAGGTCCATTTCCTCATCTACAGGGTTAGGATAATTATGCCTATCATCCTGTTGTCTACGAAGGCTGTCATGAATATTCAATAAAATCACAGGTGGGAAGTATTTTTGCATATTGTAAAATATTACATACTACTGTAACAAAGCTGTCCTTTTGTCTCAGAGGTCTATTTAAGAGACTCAGCCAATCCAAGTAAGAGATGACTGACAGCAAAGGTCCCAATGGATATTGTAAAATTAGCTGTTCACTAGAATCACCTGGAAACCTTGCTGAACCTACAGATGTTCATACCCCATCTCCGTAAGATTCTGATGCTGTAGATCTCGAGTGGGGCCCTGGGATCTGCATTGGCAAAGAGCATCTCAGGGTATTCCTTGCAGCAATGACCCAACTAATACTTAGAAATCACTGGTTTAGACTGACCCAGATTTCCTAGATTCTGTTCTGGTCTCTCTGACTCAAGCTTAGTCACACCCAAAGACACAACCATTTCCTAACCAAAGAGAACGAGTCATCTATAGCCCTTGGTAAGGTAGCTCTTAGAAATGGGGTGAGCTAAGGGTGGGTGGGTGGTGGTGGTGAGAAGTGTGCTCCGAGCAAAAGACAGGAAGGGCAAGACTCCATCAGCAGCATGTTAGAGTGCACGCTGCTCAAGAGAAGCCTCTGGAGACAGGTCGTGCCTAGGCTCCTGGCCAGCTAGCGAACACTCCCTTGGGAGCATTATTCTGGCAATTTTCTTTGAGTTTTGACTTAAACTATCCCAAGGAAGGCAAGCACCATTACAGCAGATATAAGACTTAATACAGAAAAGATAGCTCTACTAATTTAGCACTGTCAACTGAGACCTGTTTCTTTCTCAAATAGGCATGATGATTGGGCAGACATATTATTAAGGGCCTTTCCAGATCTAAGAATATGTATTATTCAATCGTAAATAAGCTCAAGACAGGCCCAGATACCTCAACAAATAAGCACACAACTTTCCTATGCACTGTGTTGTCCTACCTATTGTGATTAGAGCTTCTTTCAGACTTGCAACCATGAATATAAAACAACGCTAAGGAGAGCATTGTCTCTGTTTCAGTGTCATTCACTCCTGTTTTGTGGTCATATATTTGAGCCTCTGAGTGCAGATTTTTTTTCCCCCACCACTGTGGCTACAATCTTTAACTTAGAGAGAAAAGAGGGATATGTAGGCAAATGTACCAGCATGTGTTGGAGAACAACATATCTGAACAAAAGAATTTCAAAGAGGAAAATGGAATATCCCACTTCAAAACTTTACAGAAGTACTTATCAAAGACCTGGAACAAACCCACAATAACTGGCTGAACTCCTAAACACTTACTAAACTAGTTTGCACCAGGAATGAACTTATTTCCCAAACCTATGCACCAAACCATTAAGAGTGAAGAGTCTTTAAGTATTCTCTGAACTCCTCTCTGCACACGATTCAGCAACGAACTACCTCATGTTCAATTCCTTGCTTTTCAAATTGCTGTAGAAGAAATCTTCCCCAATACTACTCTCCATTACCTTTATGATCCTGAAATCCTGGATTCCACTGTTGCTGCCACTTTTCCCACTTTATGCCCTTTGATAATCTAAACAAGTCTCTTCTTGGAGTTGCCTTGGATTCCAAGGTAGTTAGGAGCCCACTGACACCCTGAAGACTTTTTTCAACTAATGTGGTTCTCCTGACTGATACCTTCCCTTTCCTCTCCCCATATCCTTGTCTCTCAATCCAGAGAAGGCTGCTAACTTCGGGCTAGAAAAAGGCAGGGGGCCTTCTAATAGTAGTAGTCAGCTGCGATGGAATTCCTAGGTTTTCCCCAGCAGTAAAACATTGGCCTTAGCTAGATGTTGAACATAAAGCCCTGGTAATTCAGATCCCACTTGCAAGGTGGCTTGAAAGTCACTTCCCCTTCTGGATTTGCTGCTCTTTTCAGAGGTCCCTTCTGCCTCCCATAGTATATGGCAGTGTGTGATTTTGGGGAGGTAGGAACTAGCTGAGAGAAAATGCCAGGGCATTATCAGGCTAACCCTTTAATATTGATACTAATTACAGGCCTTGGAGGAGTGACTGACTCCCCAGAGCTTGGGTAGCTTTGGTTGATGCTTCCCCTTTCTTAGTAAAATGCCCTGAAGTGCAGAGACTGGCCTTGCGGAGAGGCGGAAGGGTGGAACTCTAAAAGGATGAGGAAATATCTTAGAGCAGCTGGTTATTCTTCCCCTTATCCTGCCCTCTCTCCCTCACCTCCAGGAAGGCAGGTAGATGACTCAGCTGGAGAAGAGTAGCTTCCTGCTTGCCTAGAGGTCCCCCAACTACCAGTTCCAGATAAGAATCCAGATTATTCCATAACTCAATACCCTCCCCTATCACCTCACTTCACCTCAACACACACACACACACACACACACACACACACACACACATTTCATCCTTTGTCTTTACTGCTGGCCCCTTTATGGAAAACACAGCTTCGCCCTGACACTAATCACCTCCCCCACAATTCCAACTTCTTTTTTATCCATTTAGATGTGTCCCCTAAACTTGAAACAGCCATGACTTTTCTGGTGGAAATGAAAAGAGGGACACTATTACCTGGCTGGGGCTCTATCAGGCACTGAGCTAGAGCTCCATGGCTCTCCCACTGCCAAGGCTCTCCTCACTGAGGCACTCTGCCTTATCCCTGAATCAGTCAAGGAATATCCATATCCCTGAATCAGTCAAGGGATATCCACAAAAAGCCTAGAGCTTGGCCTTTCTCTTTCAGCCGGGCTTGGCCCTATAGATAAAAGGTGTCCCCTGAAGGTAAGGTGAAGCTGTTGCAGATATACTTTGCATTTAGTACAGATATCGGAGAAGAGCACAAGGAAACTGATAGGAAGGAAAAACACCTTGATTGTGTGTCAGAGAAGATTGGGGTTGAGTCTTAACTACTTACTAACATTAAACAAACTTTATGAGTTTCAGTTTCCACATTTCTAAAGTAGTAATACTAGTCCTTCCTGCCCAGCCTCCTTCACAGATATAATAAGTTTCAAATGACCTGAAATACTTGTTTTAAGTGCCACACAAAGTGAGCTATCGATATTCATTAAGTTATAGAACAGTGGTGGCCAACCTTTAAACTTCATGGACCACCAGTGGTCCTCAGACCACAGGTTGATGATCGTTGATCCAAAGATGTCCTTAAACCAGCGGTCACCAACCTTTCGGACTTCATGGACCACACCGGTTCTAGAAAATGTGCAACTGAGGCAGCTGCCAAAGTAAAAGGATGCATTTGGGAGGATAGGAAGGGTGAGGTGTTAAGACTTCTCTCAAGAGGACAATCTTTAAGCAATTCCAATTCTCAGCTTCCAAACAAGCCACTGAGGCACACTGCCTTACTCCCTGCCTGGTAAGTTCAGAACATTCAAAGAGGGACCAATGAGCCATACTCTCAGGGTTTCTGGATTCAGCCCCACTCCCTTGTTGGAAGAAAAAAGTACTCACTAGTGGCAGGTCATGCTCCAGGACCCATAGGCACCCCTTCCTCATTGAGTTACAACAGCAGCTGAGCCAATGCAGCCTCCCTTTAGTCCTTGCTGGGGCTGGCTGGGTCTGCTCATTGTCTAGAAAGAATGTTTTCTCTTTCTGTCTAGGATTTTATGCTAGAAAGAGGCCATGATCTAAAATGGAACCAAGACAATATCCCTGTCCACTGTGAGCTAAGTTGTGATGGAAAAGTGCTCTGAGCCTGGTTCTAGAGCTTGCTTTGCTACTGATTAGCAGTCACTTCCCCATGTGAAGCTCAATTTCCTCATAAGCCATGGGGGGAGGAACAAGAATCATATTATTGCTCTACCTACACCACAGGGTGTTATGAACACTTGAAGGAACTAATAGGTCAATGTACTTTTGTACAAGATTGAGGAAATGCTACCTGCTAAAACAGACATCCACTCTACACCAACAGAAAAGTAAATCCCCTCACAATCACCAGTTAGGGAAGAAAAGACTACTTATGGTAACACATACCTCAACTACTTCAGCCACATGGCATGTTCTGTTCTGTTCTCACTGTACCAAGGCTCGTCTAGTCACCCCTCGAGTTACAAGATCACTTTCCCTTTACATTTCCATCAATTTCACAAGTTGGGAGCAGAAAGCAGAGGTAAATAGCAACCCAAATGTAATTTGTGATAGTTCTAGAGAAGGATCATCCAAGACTATCACCACCTGCTACCACTGTAGAAATTTAGAGTGGAGAGGCGATTTAGATCACTCTCAGCTTTCAAGCTCCAACTCAGTGCTTGTTTCTAGAAGCCCCGGGCTGGCAGAGCCTCAGACAGATGAGGACCAGAACTTCCAGGTCACAGTAAGAGTAATAAAGCCCCAACTCACTCGGAACAATCTACAAGAGGCAGTGATCGTCTCCAAAAGGGGCCTGGGGTAGAGACTGAAGGGCTCCCCTTTCCTCATGTGACTCCCAGTCACAAAGTGAACTTCCTCTAGTGGAGCTAGTTATCTGGCTTTATGTTGGGAAACTAATTTGTATCTCTTTACCCTAACATTCCTTAAAGTATGGAGGAGGCAGGATGCATGCCTGAGAGGTGGCAAGAGAGGAAGCATGAGTTCCCCTAGTATCAGAGAAAGTTATTATTAAAATGTTTCATTTAGCAGTCACAAGAACTGAGGTAAATGACCCCAGAAAAGATATTGCAGGCTTGTGAGAAAATAGGAACTTCCCAAAGGCTAGCTTAAGACCCAGGTGTTTCTGAGACCTCTATTACACTTCTATCTGCCCCACCTCTGATCACAAGCTTCTCAAGAGAACAGGGATGCAGCCAATTTGCTGCTGAAAGGATACCAAATTGCTAGCACCTGTGCCAACACACACTGCTTCTGAACCTAAGCATCTTAATCATCAAAACAAATTCAGAAAAATGGTATTATAGAAAATGCACAGGCCAAGGAGTCCCAAGGCATAGTTTAAGTCTTAGCACTGCCAATTATGAGCTGTGTGACCTTAGCCAAGACATTTCATTGCTCTCTGGGCCTTCATCTTATAAAATGCAAACTGTCACCTATCCTTGCAGGATTTTATAGAAATTAATAGATGTGAAAGTACATTATGAATATCTTAAATTAATCTCCCTGGTACTATATCTGACTACTAAAAACAAAAATGTTCCTATCCCTCCAAAAACGTTAAGTTTTTTTAGGAAAAGAACTCTGCCTACTTATTAAGTATGCTGAGTGCTTTCCTAGGGAAATCTTGAACTACCACAGGCTATTACGGCTTCAGGATCCCAAAAGCACGTGAAATTGACTGCAGTCTGTTTCTGGTATTTAAACTGTCTTATGTTCCTGTTTATCCTAAGAAATCCCTCTTGCCTTGCAGATTACATGAAAGAATCCGCGTGCAGTTCTAGCACTTGTTCCTTGAACAGCAGTGAAAACCCTTATGCCACAATTAAGGACCCACCCATCCTCACCTGCAAGCTTCCAGAAAGCAGCTATGTAGAAATGAAGTCGCCTGTGCACAGGGGGTCTCCGTACACAGATGTGCCATCCTTGTCGACATCTAATAAAAATATATATGAAGTTGGTAGGTGTCTCAAATAAGTAACTTAGCAAAATCAGGGCAATAGTGCAGCATCTGAAATAAAAACAATCCCTCTCTACTCACCCTGTCTTGAAAACACACCTTTTTTTTCGTTGCTTTTTAAGGAATCCAAGGCAAACTGCCTCCCCCGGGACTACCCTCCTCTTTTATGCAGGAAATCAAATTCTTGTGCCAACTCTGCTTTAAAACAACAACATACCAGGACTAGTATGAAGCAGAAATACTGGAGGTGGGGAGTGGATACACACACACACACACACACACACCTCAACTGATTGTTGATACAAATCCCAGTTTAAAAAAGAAAACAATCAGAACAGAATATTTGTTAACTTTCTAAATCACCACTTTCTATTTTCTCCCAGTTTAACCCATGTCCCTAGGCTCAGTGCTAAGAATAGCAGTGAAAATCTTACGCCACCATTAAGGACCCACCCATTCTAAATATTCTAAATATTTAAGATATTATAAATCTCTTCCGTTTTGACCAAGCTTTGGATGGGTTTCTGCCTGCACGCTCACTTAGGTTTTTCCATCTCTTAGCATTAGTCCTAATCCTCATATTTATCACAGGTTTATAAATCCCTGGCTTCTCTCATCACCCAGTTGAATAGAACTCTCTTCCCCCCAACATGACAACCAAAGCTAATCTGTTCTCTGAACTCATTTTTCACTATATTCCTTAGAGCCCACAATCAGTGTGGTCCAAGAAGGCCGTGGTCCCAACTCCAGCTATATCCAGAATCCATACGACCTACCTAGGAACAGCCATATTCCTGGTCATTATGACCTCCTCCCAGAAAGACAGAGCCCTGCCAATGAGCCCTCCCAGGACAAGCAGTCTTAAGAGGGATAAGCTCCTTCCTCTCTTGCAATGTGCTCTACTGAATATTCTGACTCTGAAAGAAGACAATCCCCTGACTTGAAATAATGGTACAGACTGACTTCAGCTGCGTGTTAGTTATTACTTTCACCTGGAACTAAAGAAGAGCTTCCAAGTGGGACTGGGGTAATTGCTCAAAAGGTCTGTTTGCAAAGGTAAATCCGATCACTCATCCAACCCCCAACTCCAAAAGACCTGGATTACATGATCTTTTAAAACATTTAGGATACAGGTACTCATCAACATCAGCTAAATACAGCTAACTATATATATTTATATATTTAATTATCTGAAACATGATGCTTAAAGAACATGTAGAATAGGTTTTATAAACCTTCCTAAGAGGAAAGGGGGACTGGGGAGGGGAGAGGATTCATTTAAAATATCTGAAATGTATATGTACTTTTGGTTGCTGTTACTATCAACATCTGTTTGATTACCTAAGATAATCGGTACATACATAGACAAAAACTGTGCTAATATCCATCCTTAAGTACCTACACATATATGTCTGGTCTGTCAAATTACAATGGCCAAGATTACAGATTATTTTGTGGTCTAATGCTAACAACTTCAATTTTTTTAAATAAGATTTAAATAAATACAAATTATGTGTAGCACTGAACCTGGCTTAATGTCTCAGATGAGAAATTAGAATCCATACTTCTCTTATTAGCACCAAGTATATCAGGATGCTCAAGAACCTGCATTTTGCTATCTAAAATAGTATTATCTTCCATGGTAATAGATGAAGCCTTTCTCTAAAAGTCAATTTCAGTTTAAAGAACATTTTAAGAATGAACCAGAGTTTTTGAGTTCAACTATATGTAACCAATAAGACTGAAAGCTAAAATAATAATAATAATGGTAATAATACATAAATACAAATTAATCTTCCCTCTTCTGCCCCTGCTGGTAGTAGAAGAAAAAAATGTTGTCAAAGCTCAATAGCCTCTTTCAGTCTACAACAATAATTCTGGCTGGTTTTGACCAAATCTTCCAATTCCAAGTTCCAGAACATTGCCAACTCAACCCTGGCCTTATCATATCTCCTTGATCACCCAACACCTAAGTCAGTCCATGGGAAATAAAACTGTGATGCTACAAGCAAGCAGTCACAGACTGATAAGAATTAAGTATCCCTAAAAATGGCTATTTGGCCTCTCATCAAGTTTATTTGGTTGGCATTCCTTGACTCAGAAAAGTACTTACTTTCAAGCATTTCTTCATAAATCTTGAGCTGGATATAATATGGCATTAAAAGTGTAGAGCAGGGGTAGGGAACTCTTTTTCTGCCAAGGGCCATTTGGATATTTATAATATTCAAGGCCATACTAAATTATCAAGTTGAAATTAGCCTGTTATATTTGGTCAAACATTTAATTAACTGACCGCTAATGCCTAGGCAGGGCCAGAACAAATGATTTCTCAGGCCTTATATGGCCCACAAGTCAGACGTTCCCCACCCCTGGTATAGAGGAAATTAAACAAAAGAGGATATATCAAGTTAAAATTGCTTAAAGTACATTATGCTATTTGATGGCACTAAATTGAAATGATCAAAGAATGTACTATAATCAGTTGCTGTAACATGATGTAAAAACTTTATAGTAAATAGCACGTAAGGACATGAAGAACTTCTACTTTCTACCTTAAACCCACCATTTGCTGAGATGGCCAAAACTGAATTACAATGAGCTAATGCCCAGATCCCAGTATTCAGACATGTCTATACCTTCCATTACTAATGAACATAGGTAAATGGGCTCAGATGAATCTAAATGGAGTCAGTTCCCAAGCCTTAAAGAGAACCTCCTCACAAGAATTAAAGACTGAAAGGGCAAACCATGAAAACTAACCGATACCCCTATACTACTCCATTCTCTGGTAACAGTTCTGCCTGGAAACATACTTCCAAAAGGTATACAGAAGAGCAAGTACATGACTGCAAACCTGGAATAGCTGCTACAGGAAGTGTGGGAGTTCTGAAGTCCTTGATACAAATTGGAAGTCTGCCATGGAACCCATTAGTTTGGCCAATAATCAGCAAAAGCAAGGACAAAAATGAGTAATCCCCTTCCCCCACTTCACTCAAGGCTTAAGCAAATGTTAGGGGAAAATAATCTAATACTTAACATGAATGCTGCATGTGTGCATGGGAGCAAGCAATCAGTACTAGCAAATTTACTTTCCAAAAAGTCTTATTAAATATAAATACTAGAAAATTACTTTGTAGACCCAAGTAAATATTTCTCATACATATGTAGAAAGAAATATAGATAAGAGGCTTACCTCAGTATTTCAGGACAGCAAGTGCTCAATTTCCTTTGTGAAGCAAGAACTAAGAATTATGGTGAAGTCAGATCAGCAAGAAGACCTTCATCTCAATCCCACGTTTTATCTTCTTCCCTTACCCTGCATGTACAGTGACTGCTGCCTGGCAAACTGCAAACAAACACTATCACTCAAGTTTCAAGTTTCACCTCTTTTATGCCAATTATCTTCTGGGCAAATTTCAGCAAGAGGTGGAATGGTGGAATTGCTAAAGCACTGGATCAAGAGATTTGAGTGTTACTTGCCTTCTTTGGACTTTTTCCCCCCTGTGTGTAAAAAAAAGGAAGAAGCAAATAGGGGTAAGGGAACCCTAAAACCCTTCAACTCTAGCATTCTGATTTTTAAGAAAATGTACCACAAATTAAATCAGGCAATACAGGAAAAGGGAAAGTCAGAGGGTGTGATTACTTGATGGTGACAACAATTGTCTTCACATATCTAAGAGTTATTGGTAAGAGACATTTCAATCTTATAGAGCAACTGTTAGGAACTTCTGTCTAGCACTGTCACAAATAAGTTCATGGTCAACCTAAACATGTGCACTGTGCATTTTATTTACAACTTGGAAAGATATGTTCAAGTATTATACAGAAACTAAGTTTTCACTCAAATAAAGTGATGTGCATATAATTCAAATAAATAAAGAAAACAATCATTGTACAACAGCATAAGTAAGACTGAAATGGCAATACTTTTTTTTAAGCAACCCAGACTTGTAATATATTTGTTCACTGTGCATAGGAATTATACCTTGTACAAAATAAAATTAATTTCTCAAACTAATTTATAGGAATGCCTACTGTTGTGCTGCAAACCAAAAATGTGTCTAAAATCTACACCTTAGGTTTAAATGTAAAACAAACCTACATTTAAAACAAGAGAGTCTCTTCCTTTAAAGTAATGAATAGAAGCTACATATTAATTCATATCCAAAAATTACTGAAATAGCTCATAAGCATTAGTATACTCAAATAGAGAATTTCTGTTTTCACAAAGATTTGAACTCAAAGGCAACTATTACAGCTTGTGCTCAGCTTCAGAGGCACAAAGGTAGTTCTATGGCAGTGGTCACCAACCTTTCGGACCTCACTGTTGGAGATGACTGTTCTATGGAATGGGAATAAAGGCAAATATAAGGGCCACCTAATTTGCATAAGAGTAATAAATAGCTTTTCATTAGAAGTTATCACCCAGTACTGTACTCTGGGATGCAACATTTTAGGACCTTTTAAAACATAACCTTGTGACCTAACTAGTAAAGAAGCAGCAGGATTAATTTTTATTATAAAATACAGATGCTAAAAAAAAAAATAGCTTATTGAATGTATTTAATGGTATAAGTTGAAAATTCCTCTTTCACACTTTCAAAGGTTTGTACATACTTAAGTCAAAACATTTCAAATGGTCTGTTTACAAGGCTTATGTGATATTCAAAAAGTACTCCCATTTAATAAAATGTTTAACCAAGAATACATTTTTGCTAGTTTGAGATTAAAACTTGTTCAGAAAAGACCCTCCTCTCCTAAAAATGAACAACTCTCAAGGGCTGGATCTTAATATCTTAGTAAAAGATAAAACAATAAAAAAATTTAAGGCTAAAAAGGGCATTTAGTGAGAACAATAGTTTAAGATTATGACTTAGAAGGCTCAGAATACCACCCAACACCGTAAATACTAAACAAAGGCTACAGGTTTTATACTCAACAGAGAAGATTCAAGAATGATGCATTCTATTGCCATTCATCTAGTATGTGGCAAAAGAGGAGATGGAAAATCTTTCTTAGAAGGGATGGGTGGATACATAGGGACTCATTATACTATTTATAATTTTGTATAATTAAATATTATTTAATTATAATTTTATATAATTTCTAATTTAAAATTTTTTTAACCTGAATGGTAATTATCTGACTATATTCCCCAAGCTAAACTAAAATGAACCTTAAGGTGAGTCCCTTCACTCTTTAAGATGATTCTTCCTTATCATCTAACACAAGGTTAAAGGGGGGGGGGGGGGATAAACAGCAGCAATATAAATATGAACAAAGCACATTCATTTCTTGTCCTTGTGGATCTTACAATGTAGCAATTACAAAAGAGGAGGAATAAATGGAGGGCCAGATGGTTAGTGCACTTGAAGAGCTAGAAAGACTCTGAGCAGTGGTCCAATCCAAACCTACAGAAGGTTGTAGCTCTGGTCTGTAGCTAGAGTTGTAAGAATCCCTCCTCATTCCAGCTTCTGCCTTCCAAGCCATAGTCTGGCCCAGCAGGTGACTGTCCAGAGCCTTGTGTAAGAGAAAATATGGGGACCTAAGATCTTACATCAAGTGCTGTTACTTAGGCATCCACTTAAATGTAAACCTAGACCAGCAACAGATTCCTAACATCCTCCTCCAGAACTACTTTCATATCAAAGACAGCTTACAGAAATAGTGTTGATTCCTGGGGCTTCCCAGACTGTTCTGTTTCAGGCATGACTTTCTATAATATTGTTAGATCTATATGATGAAATGCTTTGGCAGAGAGGATAGTACAATATAGTCAGAAACCTCTTACAGATACGGTAAGTAACCATACAACTTCCCTATAGAGATCTGAGAAAATGGTATGCTGAGAATCTGAGTTTTCAGTAGGGGAATGGGTACTAAAAGCAGCAGTACACTTACTTATTCATTGGGATGGAGATAATAAGATCTAAAATTTTGTGTACAGGGCAAAGTTCCACTGATTTAAACATGGGAAGGAATCCTGTTGGCTACTATTTTTCACTATCATCACTGATACCAGTAACAGAGTAGTTAACAACCAATATACATGACATCTGTGCCAAGGCCTATCAATTCTATGCTTCAAAATGTTAAATAATCGAATTCAAATGTTTGGACTACTAGTAATTAGATTATCATTCTAACAGCCCAATAATGCCATTAATATCATGTTCTTTTACACATTATCCTATACATACTTGGAATTAATTGGTTCTACTGGATAGCTAGTGCTGTGGATTCATCTACCTTCTTTTAGACTATTAGAAATTAAAAAAAAAATTTAAACATAGTATGTTTTTAAAAGTTCTCTCCCAGACATGAGTATATTTTAAAGTATATATTAAAAGCCAGCAATTTTAATAGTTAAAGCCAAAAAAACAAGCAGATCTCAATTTACAGTTGACATAGCAGCCCATAAAGTGCTTCTCCCTGGTTAGCGCATATGGTATTATGATGCATACCATATTGTGAAATTGACAATCATTTTGCAAATGTTCTGAAAGCTTTCATCTTATTTAAGGAGTTAAGATGAAAATAAAGATAACATTCTAATCAAGTTATGATGATAAAACCAAAATCATCAAGCAAAGTGTATACTTCATTTTTACTATCTATTAAAATGAATAATTTAGCTCTAGTACATGAAGAGAGGGCTCATTCACAGAATTACTGAACTGGAGCTGGGGTGAAACCCAGAAATGATTTAGTCTAGTCTCTTCAATAACTGGAAGGTGAGCCTCAGAAATAAAATGACTAAAGAGCTGGGGTTAGAATCCATGTCTTTGTCACCCAGTCCAGCATTCTATTATACCTGCCACTTTCTTTTAACTTACAGAATTTGCTTATTTTCTCTACCTACCTAGTATCAAGTTCCTTTCAAATAGTCTTTTTTTATCTTCCAATTCAATTTTCAGGGAAATGGATACTTATATTAAAATTTTCTCTCAGACTAATGGCTTTCCCTTACCTAAGCTGTAGTGACAATAGCATTTTGTATTGCTTTATTGTTTCCATCAGCTTCCTACAGTTTGGGGAAACACACCATTCTTCAAAACTTGCGAATGACAACTTTAGTTTATTTGGCATGGTATATAGGTGGTAGAAAAGGTGGCAGAAAGGGGATATGGAACCAGCACAGCCCCAATCAGGAGAAAAACATCAGCCCTGTTCTTTTTTTTTTTTTTTTTTTAATTTTTTTTTATTAAGTTATTATCTTTGTACATATACCACTGAGCCCTGTTCTTTTCAGCTCTAGTCTGACTGTTATGCTAACCCAATAAATGATGTGGTAGGAGAGGATCCTTTCATGGTCTTTGTTCATTTTTTTTTCACATAGGGAATGAATACCAGGCACAGTCCTTATACAAAATTCATATTTTCTTTTAAATTTTTTTCAGGCTATGGTGTTTGTGAAACAGCAAACCAATCTCCATTTTCTCCTTCATTAAAAGAGCTCCATAAATTGAAACATAACAGATTGGAATATGTTCTTAATTATATACTCAGTTCTTGAATTATTCTGCTTCTGGTATTGGCCAAAATTGTCTAAGCAGTCATTTTGTCTCTTTAAGGTAGATGGAAGAGATAATCACAATAGCCCAAACTACAGAGAGCATTTGTATTTTGTAAATACAAATCAATAAAAATAAAAATTTAAGATGTGCATTTTCCCAATGATTAAATAAATACGACTAGATTTAATGGAAAATCCAAACTCTTAAGATTAACTTTCCTGCAGAATGCTTCAGAACTTAAAAGACCTCTGGCATAACTCACCAGCTAGCACTCCTTAGAATTTAGCATACTCAATGCAATGGCTAAATTTAAGAACTTACCCTTACAGAGTAATAACTACTATAAGAAAGAAATCATAGATAGCACTTGAGAATATTTACATACAAGTTTAACAAGTCAAGATGGTTAGGTGACTTTTCAGAAGAATAGATAATTTTTTAAAAATCAAAATTAAAAAACTAAAAAGTAGGATCAAGCAGCAAAATATTTCTATTAAACTGCCTTGGGCCCTAAATTGTCATAATATTTTTTAATTTAATGTTTCTTATTTGAGACTTTAAATGTTTGTCTCGTGAGATATTGTTCAGGATGAAGATACTTGAAATGCAATCAAAGCCATTTTCTATTACTTCTGGTTTCTTGGACTGCTCCCAAGATCCAAGGCAGCATTAAGTCTATACTTGATAAAAGTTCAGTTACTTTATCATTTTCAATACACTACCTATTTTTTCCTTCTCTTAAATAATTTTGTAAAAAACAGTAAAATAGGAGTGATGGAGCCTCTTCCTGAGCCTAGTGACAGGGTTATGTATGAAAGTACAGAGATTAATTACTTCCCTTGAACTTCTGACAATACTTTTTCCAAGAAAAGCATAATTGAACTACATGTCTAAAATCAAAGCTGAATTCACACATTGGTGCCTCCAATTCCATTCTTACTCTGTAATGCAAGGACCTATAATACCTCATTCATCAGAATCAAATATTCTATGGCTATATCCAAAACAAAGGGAAAATGTAATCTGACAACATAAAGAATAGTCCCCCTATAACTGTTTATTAGAATATGAATATATTCCAAATCAATAACTAAAAAAAAAGCCAAGTTACAGAGCATGCATAAAATACAAAGTAGTGATTTACAAACAGATAAGTTGTCATACTAATACACTAAAATAAGAAAACCAAAATAACAAACCACAGCAATGCCTTCAGTGTGCCCCACACATCATGAGCATCGCAAAAGACAGGAGATTAACTGTGAAACATAGTAATCTATGCAATCCCACACATATATATATTTTGGAGATATTCCACCATCCTGAATAGAATCACTTCAGTTGACACAACTTTCAGAACACTGCAGAGTAAGTGCTTAATATTATCCACAAGAAAGTAAAACTAAATATTAGTGTGCACATTTGTGAATGAGAAACTAGTTGCTCCATTGATTTCAATAACATAGTGGAAGAAAACTATTTTAGGTCTGTATAATGGCCTAAATACATTCTATTTAAACTCAAGGTACAATTTCATCTTAAGTGCTAAAAGAATACATGCCTTTAAGTGATAATTCTTGAGTAGTAATTAACCTCTCACTGTATTCTTTTGACATACTGAAACCAGATATTTAACTGGACTATATTCCATAATATACTGCAAAACTAAAAAATCAGCATTATTAAAACAATTATCCATGCCTGCTGGTGAATATGGTGATAAAACTAAGTTGCATTTCATTTAATGGAAAGTTTTGAGACAAAAATTACCAGTTCACAATTTTATACTAAGAGCATTAAACCAGTTATTGCTTGAGCAATAAAATGCCATCTAATCTACTGCTGGGAAATTAGGTAAATTAAATGACTTATCATTTAAACTTAGGCTGCCTGATCATTCCCACAGAAGCACCTCGAATAGAACTCCACCAGTCTCTCCAGTTCCCAGCTTCCAGAACCCATAACCATACCACAACTGAAAACCACAATACAGTCTTCTGTGTTTATTAAGATAATTCTTGCCCAGAAAAAAAGGTGCCCTCTTGAATCAACTTTGATGCTTACAAAAAGTACATAACCCTATTAAGGCATTTTAGAAAGTGACTTCCAGAATAATGTAAAATTTTCAAGCTCTCAAAATCCTGCTATGTTTATAGGGCAATTCTTAGCTTTGTGGTAACATTTACTGCACTGAGAGAAGAGTGCATGAATTGTAAGCTGCTCTGTGGCAAAATGATAGCTTATTTTCTAAAGTCTTCTTAGCTTGATTTGATTAAGACCAACAGGTCTGAGCTTCAAGTGATCAAGTTCTATTATGTACTACAGTGACAGGTTTCCATGATGAAAAGGAAACAATCATTGAAGAATCCAAACATTCAGTTTATTAAACTAAGGCTAGTGAAGCCATACCATGAAAAAAAAAGCTGCAGTCATTCGGGACAAATGGATGATTTTATAAAGCTAAAATCAAGACTTAAAACACAGAAAATTTGTAAGTATGAGGAAGTAATAAAACACAAAAGTGACCACAAGAATTACAAATATATTTAAATCTCAGACCTGGGAAATGGACTATACACAGCCTTCTATAGGAGAAGAGAAACGCTTTATATGTTCTGACAGCATTGCACCTTTGGCTTATTTTCAGTGGTTGGTGGAACATGAATAGGAACCACATTGTTGCTTGGAGACATGTCATTTTCACGTCTGTCTGACATTTGCTTCTGGGAAACAATGCGATATATCTCTGAGTGAGGGGGAAAAAAGAAACAGCAACACTCAGTGTTGAACGGATCCATCCAATAGTTGACATAAAAGATACATAAAGGTAAAAGATACATTCGCAAAATAAACTGCAAATAAATTGAACAGAGAATGCATAAATTTAAAGTTTTACTTTCAAACAGCCACTAATTAGAGTCAACCTATTATTTTAACAATTTCCCCTGGATTAAGAAAAACAGGTTTTCCATTTCAGAGGGAAAGATTTGCCAGTCAATTAATAAATCTTGCTTTAAAGAAATTTCATAGTTTACAGGCTTAAATCATGAAAACCCTGGCTAGATGGTTCAGTTGGTTAGAGTGTCATCCGTACACCAAAAGGTTTGATTCCAATGTTGTGAATTCGATCCCAGGCAAGTACGTACAAGAGGCAAACAGTTGCTGTTTCTCTCTCTCTTTCTCTCTCTTTATGTATATACATACATACAAACATATATATTATATATATATATTTTTTTTTTTAATTGATTTCAGAGAGAATGGAAATGGGAGAGAAACAGAAACATCAATGATGAGAAAGAATAACTGATGGGCTTCTTCCTGCATGCCCCAAACTGGGGATCAAGCCCACAACCCAATCATGTGCCTGACTGGGAATCGAACTGTGACCTCCTGGTTTATAGGTCGATGCTCAACCCCTGAGCCACACCAGCCAAGCAGCACTAGCTATATTTCAAGTACTAAATAACTTGTTATCAGTGGCTACTCTATTTGATACCCCACATATAAAACAATTCCATCAATACAATTGACCAGACCCTAGATTTAAAATGTAATAATAAAATCTATAAAGGACATTAGTACACACAGGAAAAACTACTGCACATTATATACTATAGTATAAATGCAAATTACTTGGGTATGGTATATGGTATTGTTATTATATAGATTACCTTGTTCTTAGGAGAGAAAATACTCAAGTGCCAAAATGTTTACAAACTGTTTTCCAAAGATTGAGCAAAGGGGGGGAGGGAGGAGTGTGTATACACATGTAGAAATAAACTAAATGTGACAAGTTGATGATTCTAGATGAAGGGTATAAGGTTTTCACTATATTATTTCTGTAATACTTGAAAATTTTAAAAACATAAAGTTATAAGATAAAAGAAAGTGGAATTGTGTTTTCAAAATGTTCCAAGAACATGTCAACCAACTGTAATATGAACATCTTTTGGGTTCCAATTTGAAGTATAAAAAGCTTAAGATAGGAAATTTTAAGGTTGTTTGGATAATAAATGATAATAAGAAACTACTGCCCATTTCTAAGTGATTTTGTTGTTATGGGCTTAAGTCCTAATCTTTCAGATATACATCACAAAATGTTTACAAATGGAATTATGTAATACCTGGGATTTGTTTCAAAATAATGGTAGGAAGGAGTAGGTGGAAAAAGATTGCCATAATGATGGCTGGCAGCTACATGGGAGTTCATGATACTATTCTACTTTTAGTATATTGGAATCTTTCCATAACAAAAAGTTAAAGAGGAAAAAATGTACAAACGGAATTAATATATTTTCTCCAAATTAAAAACTAATTTTCTTAAAGCTGAACAGCAAGTGATACTGCTAGTCAACATAATGCATAAATTAACAGAAACACTGACAGCTAGTGTGCCCTTTTTTATAATTTAAGGAGGGAGGAATTGGTACTAACATTTATGTTTGAGAAGGTTGGCAATGGTTCAAAGCTTAAGAAGCATCAAGAGAAAAAACAGATTATAACAAAGAAAGACTACTGACTAGAATTAAAATTAAAAAAAAAAAAAAAAAAAAAAAAAAAAAAAAACAAGGCCAACAAAGGATATGGAGTCTTCATTTAGATTATTTTCATTGAAAAGGGATGGGACCAGAGTGTTTCAAAGGTAAAAAGAAAGACAGTCACTCAATCAGACTAGTGGCTAAGGAATAAAGATAATCATCAACTTACTATAAAACTATATCATTCATTCTTTTAAAACATACATAAATATATATTGATTTCAGAGAGGAAGAGAGAGGGAGGGAGAGATAGAAACATCAATGATGAGAGAGAAAAATCAATCAGCTGCTTCCTATATAACCCTTACTAAGGATTGTACTCCCATCCTGGGCATGTGCCCTTACCAGGAATCAAACCGTGACCTCCTGGTTCATAAGTTGACCCTCAACCACTGAGCTGGGCTATACTATTCATTCTTTATTTTTTATGTCTTCTCTCTAATCCCAAACTGGATGGCTGGTTCTTTTTCAAGTGAAAATGAATAAATGTGACCCTCTACAAATTTTAACTTCTCAAGTTATATTAAACATTACATTAGATGAACCAAAACAAAAAAATACTTTGCAGGTTCTTACATGAAAAGCAAATACTGGAAGGAAGGAAAAGGAATAATGCCAAAGAACATAGAAAGTTAATTAAAGAGATCTTATTACAAAGCAAGAAATTTGAGCAGTGTGGTATAATTGGCTACAAGTACTGTATTACTGTTTTGTAGAAATGAATTACTTTTACATTTGCTGCAGTCACCAAAAAGATACCTGCTAATAAAAATAATAAAGGCAATAAATCAAGAGAAAAATATTGGTCAGAAAAATTAGGAGATAATCTCATTTAAAACAAATCACCAATTCCTGTGCAGTCCCCTTTCAAGATGTCCAAAAAATAGGTAAGGTTAGAAAGAAAAGGAATTCTGCTTTATCTTTCTTATATAAGAATCTCTTATCGACCTAAATATGAAGTAAAATGTTAATATAAGATCACTTTAAATATAAGCAGATAAAGTTAAATAAAAAAAGACATATATCTATTTCTACTAGATGGAAGTATGGATCAAGTTGCAAAGTAAATTCTAAGGAAGTCAAATGCACAGTTCCAAACTAGGGACAAAAAGAGCTAAAATTCTTCAGTGACTCGAAAAATTGTGAAAATAGCAGAGGCCTGAGTTATTCCACTAGAGCCTAGATCAGAAATGTTTGGGTGTTCTTCAATCCCAATGCTCACCAAGTCCAAGTAAGTTTCTCAAAGGTCAAAAAGTTCTCCAATTTAATTACTGACACACATTTAAAAGTTGCCACTTTCCAAGAAGAAAGCTACTACACCTAAATAAGAAATTCTCACCACTCCAGTAAAATTACAGAAGCTCCCTCCTCCCATCCATCTGCGGGGGATACAGTGCAAAACCTCAAGTGGATGCCTAAAACCACGGGTAATACCTAATCCTATATATCGATACTATGTTTCTTTCCTATACCTACAACCCTTTTCACCAAATGGAAGTCCATTTTACAGGTTAAGTTCCTTAAGCATATCTATTAGCATCATCTACTAGGCATTACTACTCTTATGTTTTGGGGCCATTATTAAGCAAAATAAGAGTTACTTAAACTCAGGAACTGCTATATAGTCATCTAATAACTAAGTGACTAATGAGTAGGCTAGTGTATATAGCAGGAAACACAGAACAAAGGGGTGATTGATGTCCTGGACAGGATGGAGTGAAGGACACAAGATTTCACCACATTACTCAAAACGGTGTGTAATTTAAAACTTACAAATTATTTATTTCTGGAATTTAATATTTTGGACCACAGATGACTATGGATAACTAAAACTGAGGAAAGTAAAACTACAGATAAGGGCAGACTATTGTAATGCCTGAAAACTCTTAGTTTTAAGTCAATATGCTAAGTGAATTAAAATCCTTTCAAACACAAAAAGATTTAGTCTTCATACTAAAAAGATTACTTGGACTTAATAATTTAATGTAAAAACCTGACAGATATCACCTTAATCAAGTGACCAAAGCTAACATTGCTAATAATAAAACAAACCACTACCATGAGCCTCCTAATATGATGTACTAAGCACTTTTGTGATGTTCCTGCTAAAAATACATAACCTGAATTTAATCATGAGGAAACGGTAGACAAAAACCCAAATTCAGTAACTGTATCCTTCAAAAAATTACAATATAGAAAGACTGACAAACTGTTTGAGATTAGTAGAAACTAAAGAGATACAATAGTGAAATATAATGTGTAATCTAATTCCAGACTTTATTTTGCTAATAATTGGAACTAACAAAATCTGAATAAGGTCTATGGTTAAACACTGATGTTTAAAGTTACTACTTAACTCTAACTTTGAGAATTATACTACAGTTAAAAAAAAAAGTTCTTGTTTTTAAGAAATGCACAATAAAAAGTACTTAGGTATAACGGGCAACATGTCTATCATTTGAAATGGTACCAAAAAATAATATGTATACATTGAGAGAGAAGAAGGAAAAATAAAGCAGATATGGTAAAATATCAACATTTGAGTTAATATGGGTGAAGGGAATTTAACAATTCTTTTACTATGATTGTAACTTTTCTTTAAGGTTGAAATTGTCAAAATTCAAAGTTAAAAGAAAAAAATAAGACTATGGAAAGTATGGGTTAAAAACTTTCTTTAATGAGTTTGATAAAAGAAAATAAAACTGCACTGAAAAGAAGAGGCTGAGCAATCTATCAGATTCACTCAGGTACTACCTAATTAACTCTAAAAAATACCATCAGCAAATTTGTGTCATGGAGTTAGCAGTCAAATTCATAGATGTCAAAAATGCCATGGCTCTATTCTAAAATAAGCAACACAATTAACTTGGGAGTAATATTGTAGATAAATTTTTCAATATATAATTTTAAAGTTAAAAAGCTGTTTTTTCTTTTGTTTAAATATAATTTTATTGACAGTATTATAGATGTCTCCTACTCTTCCTCCCTCCCCCTTTTTAATCTCCTCTTTTCAACCCCTACACATCCCTCAGGTCTTCACCCCCCTATTGCCTGTGTCCATGGGCTAAGAAACTATTTTTTTCTTACAGCAACATCAATATACAATGTAAATGATCCTTCAATATTGTTAACATTTAAGGTGAACTAAGCTTAATGATTATTTTTCTTTTTCCAGATTCTTTCAATGCATAATATACTCCCACTGGTTAAAAAAAAAAAAAAAAAAGTTTCGAACAAACATCTTAACACTTGCAAAACACCACAGATGTCTGCTGCCATATGCAGTGATTTTGGATCCCACAGACGAACACTGAGATTTATGAGGGAAGTTGAGGAAATAGTGAATATAGAGAGGAAAAGTTGAAGTAAGTAAAACTAAAGTCTTGTTTGTATTCAAACATTAGTCAAGTAATAACAAAAGTTTAATCTAGGGTAAATTATAAGAAAAATAGCCAGATATTCTTCATCTTTAAGAACAAAACAGCTCCTTTTTGTGTGTGTGTATATATATATATATATCACTATTTATGACTAGTTCAGGTTTAAGTAGATTGTAAGTTCAATGTCACAAATGATGCATACGATAGTCCACAGCAGATGGAAGACTTGGTCTCACCTTTACTTAATATCAGAATAAATGGGCCAGAAATTGAATCAGAATAAGTGGGCTAGAATTATAGCAGAGGAGATACAATTGGACATACAAATATCCCAACAACAAGGACTGACTACAAAGTTTTTCAAGTGACATTTTTAGAGGCCTTGAGAGACTCAGACCTTCAAGATGACTTTTTTTCTCTTTCCTGTTTCTCTTTCCTTATTTTAAGACACTATAAATCTGAGATTCAATGACGTCAATTATAGAGGGAGTGGGAGCAAATAGTTAAAGAGTAAAAGCCTACACTCCTAGGTCTAAATTTAGTATTTTTCTATATATTGAGTCAATAGAAGTCACATAAGCGGTTATAAAGGAAAAAGGATTTACACATACTGCATATTTAATCAAATCTTGCCTATTTGAAATAATCTGCAATGAAACCACACACAAGATTCTAAATGATAGCAACTATATTCCAAAGACTATCCAACCCCAGCACCATTTCTTTTAGTTACTATTTTTTGATAACAGAAAAGAATTCAAAGATAGGTATATGATTCACCAATATTTAGGGATTTTTTTTTTTTTTTTTAGTTAAATGTTTTCATACCTCAACTGCTATTTAGCTACTAATTTATCAAATGTTCACTATGTACCAGGAATAGCTAGGTATTTTATATGCACAAACTCGTACACATTTTGGAATCTAGAGTAGATGTCTCAGTGACAGGCAATTTTTTCTATGGATTATAGAGACAAAAACCTTGAAGTCACAACCTAACAGTTAAGTCAAATCGTGTCACAGGTATTTGTTATAAATTGACTCCACCAAAAAGAAAATAACAGAACTGCCCAAAACATTTAAATTTTACAGACACACACACAAAAAAAAAGGCCTAAAAAAGATTAAGTAACTTACCTAAGATTATAGAGCTATCGATAATAAGAGAAGGAGCCAGCCTAGAACCCAAGTTGGGCTTCCAAATCCATGCTTTTAAATCCTAGACTTATTCCCTACCTTTTTAGAGTAAAATAAGACATTTTAAAGTTAAAGCCTGTTTACATCTAATACAAGTGCTGTATATAAAGAAACTTGTTACATTATAATTGAAAACATTAATTTAACCATTTCTCTATATAGACTTTATTAGAACAAGACTATCCTACCCTGTTTCCCTGAAAATAAGACAATGTCTTATATTAATTTTTTCTCCCAAAGTTGCGCTAGGTATTATTTTCAGGGGATGTCTTATCTTTCCATGTGTTAGGTCTTATTTTCGGAGGATGTCTTATTTTCGGGGAAACACAGGTATGTATTAAAACTAGCAAGCTCTTGCCCAGCTCGGTGGTTGAGAGTTGACCTATGAACCAGGAGGTCATGGTTTGCTTCTGTGGTCAGGGCACATGCCGGGGGTTTCGGGCTGGATCCCCAGTACGGGGCATGCAAGAGGCAGCCAATCAATGATTCTCTCTCATCAATGATGTCTGTCTGTCTGTCTCTCTCTCACCCTTCCTCTGTGAAATTAATAAAAATATATTTAAAAACAAATAACTAGTAAGTTCTTAAAAGTAACATATAATTTAAAGTACTTAAAACAACCTATCAAAGTACTTATTAGAGGATTAAGATTAATAAAGTCAAGGTATATATGAGTCATTTACAAATAAAATGCCTCCTTATCCTTGATGTTGATCTAGTCTGCATATCCACATTCCAAAACAGCATGAACTTTGTTCCTTCCCCACTACTTAAACTTTTTTATATGTAATCACTGTTGATTTTTTCCATGGGTGACACTCTGCTTCTTCTACAATATATCAGGAGAGAATTTTACTTTTTGTTTTTCATTTAAATTTTTAAGAAGATATTTTTCCCTAGCTGCTTCTATAATACTCATCAGAACCTAGGATGCCTATATTTTATTGACTTTCAATAAAGCATTTATTATATCTTTCCATAGCCAGGATTTCAATATTTATCTTAGAAAGTACATTTAAACATTATTCTGTAACCATGAATTATAATTTTCAAAGTATTTTCCTGCTATAAACCAGATAAATTAGAATGATTAAAGTTCAGCAAGCAAAAGTTGTAACTAATTTTATAGCTCTTGCTCTAGTGGCTCTCACAAATGACAGTCATTCTCAGAGAGTGTGACATTCGTTTTCCCAATTAATTTGTTTATATTATCTCCCTAAAACTTTTATTTTTCTTTGGTATAATCTTAAAATGCAAGTCTTACCTGTCAGAATTGTCTGAAAAGCAACTTCTACATTTGTAGAATCTAGAGCTGATGTCTCAATGAATGACAAACCATTCTTTTCTGTGGAGAGACGCAAAAACTTCAGTTTTCGGCAAAGTTAATACAAGAGATATAATACACTCAATACTTTAAATGGAAATATAAAAGACCTTTCCTTTCCTTTTTTTTTTTAATTAATTATAGAGAGAGAGGAATGGAGGAGAGGGAGAGAGAAATAATTGATTTGTTGTTCCACTTTCCCAACTTGTTGGCAATAAGGGTACCATTCTACTTACACTAATAGATTAAAATTAACTATAAGAAATTTCCATTGGGTTCATTAAAATAAATACTTGTTATACCTAAATACTACCATGAGAATAACAACACTACTCAAAATACAGTAAAATATCAAATATTCTCATACTCTATCTCTTATGGTCCTTTAACCACAGAACTATAGTATAAATAAGGATGGGTATATAAGATTCACTTAGAATTCTGTAACTATATTATTTGAAATAAAGCTTCTTGTCTGGAAAACCAAAAATCAGCATAATCACTAGTGGAGACTCACAACCTCCACTAGCCAAGAATGTACACTGTTGCCTTCTGATAGAATGCCCTTCCAGAACAGTAAACCCCTGTAAAGCTTAAAAAGCTTTAATTCCTAAGCAGCTGAATGTCTATGATCCTTGACACTCCCAGGTCTACTACTTTTTGGACCCACATAGAGCAGCTTTGGTAAACAGACATAATGGAAGAAGAAACAAGAATACAGGGAGAGAAAAGGACACAGTATTTACATTCAATTTTTGCAGCAAAAACTCAAAAAACTAAAGTGTTTTAATGACTCAAGATTAAGCAAAAGAGCTCAACAGTCATCATATATCAATACTTTAAAAACAACAATCCTTGCTAAGCATTCATTATTTATTCATATTTACTTTCCTGAAACTACTGTAACTGATTAACCTGATTGGAAGGGTTATCAAAACTGAAAATATGACAGTAAGAAATACAGAATCTCTGTAAAAACATGAAACTAATATCACTAACCTGCAAAAGCTCTTGCTTCATCTGTAGGAACTGCCCTGAGATGACGCAAATCACTCTTATTGCCCACAAGCATGATAACAATGTTACTATCAGCATGATCTCTCAGTTCTTTTAGCCATCGCTCTACATTTTCATATGTGAGATGTTTAGCAATGTCATAAACCAACAAGGCACCTACAGCTCCACGATAGTATCTGAAAACAGAAACATATGTAACTATTAGAAAACAACCACAAAATAGAAGGAAACGCTAGGAAGAACTAAATATATCGATTATATACATTTTAATATGTTTTTACTGATTTTAGAGAGAGAGGAAGGGAAATGAAGAGGGAGAGAGAGAGAGAGAGAACATCAATTGATTTCCTCCTGCACACCACCTACTGGGGAGCCTACAACCCAGGCATGTGCGCCAACCAGGAATCAAAACAATCTTCTGGTGCATGGGACTGAACTCAACCAACTGAGCCACAACAGCTAGGCATGGATTATATATTTTTAAAAACATTTATAAATAAATTTCAAAATCCTAATACTGGCATTCTTAAAAGGGGAAAAAACTTTTTATGATAACAAAATGTAACTAATTACCTAAATGGCAACCAATTCACTTGATGGCAGCCTATTTCACAGAACTTATAAAACTGTTGAGACTTACGCTGATGTTATAGCTCGATATCGCTCTTGCCCAGCCGTGTCCCATATCTGTGCCTTTATTGTTTTTCCATCAACCTGGATGCTTCTTGTTGCAAACTCTACTCCAATGGTGCTCTTGCTTTCAAGATTAAATTCATTTCGAGTAAAACGAGACAGGAGATTACTCTTTCCAACACCAGAATCTCCAATAAGGACAACTGAAAAGACAAAGAACTTTATCTAAGATGAATGAGACAAGCACACCACCTTACAACAGCAATTTTCAAGCGGTGTATCTCAAAAATTTTTTCAACATGCAATACCTGTCTATTTAGCCAGAAGCACCAACTTCTTTTCCCTTAGATTATCAAATAAAAGAATGATACAACAATAGCTGTCCAGTGTGAATAAATAAAAATTATACCTATTTTTTTTTTTGTCAAATTGACAAAAATATATTCTTTTGGTGTGCCACAGAATTTTAGTAGTTTGTGTGCCATGAGGTGAAAAAGGTTGAAAACTGCTGCCTTAGAAGGTAACTTGAAAGATAAATTCTAAACCAAATGACCAATTTATGACTCTAACTTGTATCAGACATGAAAAAAAAAACAAAGGATATTAGTTGGTGGTGGAGAGAGAAAAAATGAATATTATGTTCTTGGTTTCATCAAAGACTAGGTATGACCTAAGGACTCACACATGGACAAAATGAAACACGTTTAACATATGAGGCATCAGGTTTATAAACTTTGCTACCCAGATCACAGAAACAACATTTGCATTTAGCAGAATTGCAGGAAACTAGAGACTCCTCCAAAATAAAACACTCTAACCACCAAGTTTAACAGGGACCCTAGAAAGCTGACTAATAATTCTGAGCCAACAGGGAACATACACTTTCACTTACCACTTCATGATTTGTGTTTAAAAAAAAAAAAAAAAAAGTTTTGTTTTTTTTTTAAGTTGATTCATTGAGAGAGAAAGAGAAACATCAATTTGTTGTTCCACTTCTTTATGCACTCATTGGCTGCTTCTTGTATGTGCTCTGAAATGAGATCGAGCCTACAACCTTATGTATAGAGACGATGTTCTAACCAATTGAGCTATCCAGCCAGGGCTTTAAAACAGGTTTTGATTAGATGAAATCATTTCCTATAATTACTATTTAGGAGACAGTTTATTTACTAACTAATAAACACTGAGGATTCTTTTTCACCCAAGGCAATATTCCCCTTAAGAATGTCAAAAACAATGGGGATAGAGGCAGTTAAATTATTTTAAAGCATGTTTATCAAAATTTAAAGTACAAAATGAGTTCACAGATTTACAGGATCTGAGCCTGATACAACCATTTTTCCTTTCTAAAAATTTTATAGGCATTTCAGGAAATATTACACTTATTCCTATTGTGAACCACAAATGCTTCTTCTTACTTCTTAAAAGCTAATAGATTTAGACACCAGGATTAGAAAATCAAATATGCAAGAATAACACCAAATAAGACCACGCCTTACTAAAGAAATTGGGATTTGATGGGATGAACAGGGAGTAGGGAGGAGGGATGTAAAAACTGAGAGGTAAAAAATAAAATAAATATAAATAAATAAATAATAAAATAAACTGAGAGGCAGCTCCATTTTTGCTCATTGGATACAGCAAAAATATATATACTGGACTAAATTTTTTAAAATATATTTTATTGAATTTTTACAGAGAGAAAAGTGGAGAGATAGAGAGTTAGAAACATCAATGAGAGAGAAACATGAAACATGATCAGCTGCCTCCTGTACACCCCCTACTGAGTGTGCCTGCAACCAAGGTACATGCCCTTAACCTGGGACCTTTCAGTCTGCAGGCCAATGCTCCATCCACTGAGCCAAACCAGGCAGGGCTGGACTAAATTTTTTTTAAATTTTTTATTTCTTGAATTGAAAGAGAAAAAAGAAACACACAAATATATATATATATATATATATATATATATATATATATATATATAATTTTTTTTCAATAAAAATATATTTAAAAAACAACTGAGAGGCAGGTGTGGCTTAGTGATTGAGCATGAACACATGAACCAGGAGATTACAGTTCAATTCCTGGTGAAGGCACATGCCCAGGTTTCAAGCTCAATTCTCAGTAGGGGGTATGCAGCTGATTGATGATTCTCCTTCATCACTGATGTTTTTCAATCTCTCTTTCCCTCTCCTCCCTCTGCTTTCTGAAATCAATAAAAATTATTGTTGGTTTTTTTTTAAACTGTGAGAGTTCACAGTATTCTGGTCAGAGGGCAAAGAGAATCCATTATGCATTCCTTCCCTGCCATAAGAGCGAATAGAAGCTGGCCTCTGGGAGTCTTGGAGGGAGTATATTATCAAATGCATATCTTTCTGGTTTCCTTTATCAGCTGATTCAGCAAGAATTCATCCAGGCAGCAGTGATTCCATGTAGCACAAGGAGTTATTTCTAGCTATAAAGTAAAGTAGAGGTGGCAAAATATTGTGGCAAATACAGATATTATCATAAATGCCTTAAAGTGGATATCAAATAATATATTACAGTTATGAAAGTAACAGAGAAAAACAAAACACTTCCAATTTTATAGTTGGTTTATATGTCAGTTTCCAAGGTCCACCATTCTGGTTGTGAGATCAAATACCAATTTCAGTCATAGAGTCTACCCTCTGAATAGGATGCTCACTATTGCCTCTCAGTGAAAGAGGCCAAGTGTTCTACAGAGGAAACCTCCTTTGAATCATTTTTGGCCCCACACTAGCACTGAGGTATAAAGCCTCACTTTAAGTGGGAATAGGAAAGAAAAGAAACCCAAAAAGTTAACCATTTCTATTTCATAGGCACTCAGAAATCAATCAGTAGTTCAGGAGCCAAAGAGCAAGACATTTAGAATGACAACACCTTTAGAAAATAAAAGAACACCATCTTCCTCACACGAAAACTCTAGCCCTTTAAAGTTTTTTATGTCTTCCCTTTGACCTCCACTTAATAACTATGTTTTCTCCCCATCCTCAAATCTTTATGCCATCATAAAGTAAGTTAGTGAGGGCATTTTCCCCTTCAATGTAACCAATTAACATTATGAAAAATAGCACCTTTAGCTAAAAATAATTCAAGACTTATAAATGCTTTATACAGTATAAAATAATTATCTCAATAATACAGACAAGATTGCTAGAATTAAGATTAGCAACTTGTTAAAGGATTATATCTTAAACTACAACAGAAGATAATCCTTAAGAATAGTGCTGCCTAGATGATGCTGAGAAATGACACGATAAGGAAAGCTGCTTCTATTCAGTTACCAAATGAGAAACCAAACTAAGAAGTAAACATTTAGGCTCACTAAAAAAATAAAAGAAAATAAAAGAAAATAAAATGTAAAAGAAAAAAAAAGATTTTTAGAAAGAATAGATTAAATTATCTAAGCAATAGAAGAGAATTAACTGGCTATTAACTGGTTAAAAATCAAACCAAAACCCTAGCCCATTTTGGCTTAGAGGATAGAGTTTTGGCTAGCGGATTGAAAGGTCCTGGGTTCGATTCTGGTCAAGGGCATATGCCTGGGTTGCGGGCTTGATCCCCAGTAGGAGAGTGTGCAGAAGGCAGCCAATATATGATTCTCTCTCATCATTGATGTTTCTATTTGTCTCTCTCCCTTTCTCTTTGAAATCAATAAAAATACATTAAAAATTTTTTTTTCATGAACTCAAACTCAATTCCTAATCAGTTTCTTTCATTAAGATGGGAATATTTAATTGCATTTTTAAAATGTAACATACAATATGATCACACTATAAAGTTCAAGAAAGGAATTTGCAGTGACTTTCCTATTTTCCATAACTAGTATCTTAGGTTAAAAGTACTTTGAACATTTTATAACTACTAGAGGCCAGTGCACGAAATTCGTGCAAGGGAAAGAGGGTGTCCCTCAGCCCAGCCTGCACCCTCTCCAATCTGACTGCCCTCTAACAATCCAGGACTGTTGGCTCTCAACTGCTTGCCTGCCTGCCTGCCTGCCTGCATTCCTAATTGCCCCTAACCGCTTCTGCCTGCCAGTCTGATCACTCCTAACCATTTCCCTGTCAGCCTGATTGATGTCTAACTGCTCCCCTGCCAGTCTGTTTGCCCCCAACTTCCCTACTCTGCCGGCCTGGTCACCCCTAACTGCCGTCCCCTGCAGGCTTGATTGCCCTCAACTGCCCTCCCTTGCAGGCCTGGTCCCTCCCAACTTCCCTCCCCTCCTGGCCATCTTGTGGTGGCCGTCTTGTGTCCACATGGGGGCAGGATCTTTGAGCACGTGGAAGCAGCTACCTTGAATGTTGGAATGCTGGTCATCTGCATATTGCCGTTATTAGATAAGATAGAGGCCTGGGGCATGGGTAGGGGCCAATTGGTTTGCCCTGAAGGGTGTCCCGAATCAGGGTGGGGTTCCCTTGGGGCATGGGGCAGCCTGGGTGAGGGGCCTCTGGTGGTTTGCAGCTGGCCATGCCCCCCAGCTACCCAAGTGAAGGCCCTGGTATCTGGGGTTTATTTATCTTCTACAATTGAAACTTTGTAGCCTTGAGCAGAGCCAAGCCTTCAGCTGGCTCAGTGGTGGCAGCCATTTATGTTGGAATTTATATATTTTCTATAATTGAAACTCTGTAGCCTTAAGCAGAGGCCTGGGGCCAACAAGCAGTCCCGAGGGTGTGTAGAAAGCTTGGCTTCCTCCATCACCTGAAAAACCCAAGCCTCCTTCCTGCTCTCTCTGGGGCCGCAGCCATCTTGGTTGGGTTAATTTGCATACTCACCTCCTGATTGGCTTCTAGGTGTGACTTGTGGGTGTAGCAGAGTGATGATTAATTTGCATATTATTTTTTTATTAGATAGAATAGCCATCATCTATACTAATAATTTATACTAATAAAAGGGTAATATGCTAATTAGACCAGGTTGACCAGACATCTTCTGGATGTCCGACTTCCTCCCAGACAAGCCACGGTGGCAGGGGTAGAGGCCATTAAGGGGCGGCCAGGCTGGCAGGGGGGCAGTTAGAAGGCAATCAGGCTGGCAGGGGGGATGTTAGGGGGTGACCAGGTCGGGGGGTTGGGGAGGGAGGTAGTTAGAGGACAGCCAGGCTGGCAGGGGGGCAGTTAGGGGGAGACCAGGCCAGCAGGGGACCAGATAAGGGGTGATTAGACTGGCAGGCATGTAGAGTGGT